GGAGGGAGGGAGGGAGGGAGGGAGAGAATGAGAACTAGAGTGAGTCATAGGTCAATCTCTTGCTTTGGAGATAGGATCTCTCACTAACCCGGAACTCACCTGATTGGCCTAGGCTGGCTTGTTTCTGCCTAGCACTGGATTTACATGTGCACACGACCACATCTGCTCTTTTAATGACTTGTAGGAATTGAACTGGAGTTTTCATGCTTACATAGCAAATACTACTGGCTGAGCTATTTCTTGGCCCTGGCGGGGCGTGGGGTGGGGAGGGACGACCTCAACAGCCACCATAAAGAGGAGGGGGGAGAGGATAGCATATTGGATGTGGTTCCCCCTTCCACTGTGTAGATCCTAACTTGGGTTACTCACTGGGCTTTCCCAGGCACGTTTTCCCGATGAGTCATCTTACTGGCCCTGTTTTTTTGTTTTTGTTTTTTGTTTTTTGTTTTGTTGTTTTGTTGTTGTTGTTGTTTGTTTTTTCGAGACAGGGTTTCTCTGTGTAGCCCTGGCTGTCCTGGAACTCACTCTGTAGACCAGGCTGGCCTCGAACTCAGAAATCTGCCTGCCTCTGCCTCCCAAGTGCTGGGATTAAAGGCATGCACCACCACCGCCCAGCTTGGTTTTGGTTTTTTTTGAAACAGGGTCTCATGTTGTCCATGCTGACTTTGAACACACTCTGTGGCCTCGAACTTCTGACCGTTCTACTACCACCTCTCAAAGATTGGAATTATAGGCTTGTGTCATTAGTTACATTCATTTTATTTGGTGGTACTAAGGATAGAACTCAAGAGCCTTGGACATGCTAGCCAAGTGCCGTAGTACTAAGCTATATTTGTATCCTCTAAACACACTTGGACTGTCTCTTTTGGCTTGGTTTATGTGTGTGTGTGTACTTACATGAGTGTACTGGTGTGTACCCATACGCACACCCCACCCACCCACAAATGGTTGTGAACTGTCATGTGAGTACTGGGATTTGAACCTGGTTTTTCTGAAGACTAACTGTTCTTTCCTGGTGAGCCATTTCTTCAGCACCCTCTACCTCAGGCTTTTTTGAGACAGGGTGTCTTGTTAAACTTGGAGCTTACTATTTCAGTTAGACTAGCTCATTAGCAAGCCCTTGGGATCAGTCTGTTTCCCCTCCCCCTCAAGTAATGGGGTTACAGATTTCATGCCTGGTTTTGAGTGTATGTAATATATATACGATGAATGCATATGTCAGGGGTGTGCGTGTGTCCATGCATGTCTCCTGAGGTCAGAGAAGGATTTCTGTATTGTTTTGTCACTCTCTGCCTCATTCCTTTGAGACAGGGTTTCTCACTGAAACTGCAGGAAGGAAGCCAACTAGCCCCAGTGATCTGATCTTCCTATCTCCAAACCTACACAGCACTCGGGCTAAAAGAAACCAATAAAGATGCAGAACACACATTTCACACACAGGAATCACATAAAAACACAAAACCAGAATCCATATTATATATGCAAAGGATATGTACGGTTGAAAGAAAAAGGGTCCTGAGTTAACGTTATGAGACAAAGGACTCCCAGAGATGCTGTAGAGTTCATTTTGGGTTGTCTATTTACTGCTTGGCATGGGGCCTACCCTTAAGAGTGGTTTGTTTTCCCGGTGAGACTTCCTTGAAGAAAATCAGTTTTTCATTTGGGAGTCGCTGTCAACTGGAGATAGATAGCTTTTGGGTTAGGGATCGGGGCACGTATGCACTCTTTTTCAGCTCGAGGCCCCTATCTGGTGCATTTCCTATGCATGCTGCCACTGTCTTTGTAAGTTTCTATGTGTGCCAGCCCTGCTGTATCTAAAAGCCTTGATTCTTTGGAGCCCTCCATCCATCTCCTGTGTCTTAACACTTTTTTTCCTCCTATTCTTTTGCAGAGTTCCCTGAACCCTGAGGGGAAGCATTTAATGGAGATACTCCTTTTAAGGCTGGGTGTTCCAAGGTCTCTCATGATGCATATTGCCAGGCTGTGGGTCTGGGAATTTGTTTCCATGTGCTGCAGGGAAAGACTTCTCTGAGGATGGGTGAACAAGAGAGGGATCTATGTAACTCCCAATAACAATTTTAATAAAATTGTTCGTGTTAGGAAGCCACAAGAGGTGGTTTCAGATTAAATTTTGGGCTGTACTGAAATTAGAAACTGGCTATCTAGGAGGGAAATGGTCCTTAGATAATTTGGGATGATAAACAAAACAGTTCAACCGGTTGCTGCACAACGTAGTAATAGAAAGGCCAGAGGTGAGTATCTGGGCGGGAAGAGAGGCGGGGCGGACGCAGAGGGGTGGAGCTGGTCCTTATAGCTCCTCAGTGACATCACACAGGCTCCGCCCCACGCTGCCCACTCCTGATACTTCTGCCGCTCGCCTGCGCCCCGGAAGCTGCCCCTGCTCGGGGGTCACGATGGGCAGCAAGATGGCTTCCGCCACCAGGGTCGTGCAGGTAAAACCTGGGCCGCTCCCGCGCTTGGAAGGGAGGGAGGGATGGTGCAGACTCAGCGGCAGCGCCGGGAGGAAAGGCGGTGCCAGAGAATGCGTCGCGACCGCGGCCCTGAAGAGGGCCAACCGGTGTGTGTGCCTGAGAATGGAACCTCGGGCTCCTGGTGGCCGGGAGTAAATAGGGTCTGGCGCCAAGGGTTCGAGGCCCGCGGCGGGTGGTGGCCTCTGGTAGTGTCGGCTCGCGCTCGTCGGAGGTCCGAGCATTCCCCAGCACCTCATTAGCCCTAGTAGTCTGCGGACTACGCTGCCCTCCAGCAGTCCGGCCAATCGCCGTTTAATATTGTCCGTGATGTTCTCCATCCAGCCAATCCGGAGGAAGGCCGTAGCGGGGCGGGGAAGGAAGCAAATCCTGGATCTGACCTGGTGTCACTTCAAGGACTTGGGAATGGCCGGATAACCGGCCCCTTGGGCTACTTCCTCACCTTTGAGCTGGTTAGATCTGATCTGTTCAGGCTCCTGCTTAGAGATGCGGGAGTAAAATACCATACTATTTACGTTTATTACTAGTATGTATGTTTCACGGTTGGTTTGCCAAGCCTTTCTCCACTATGCTTAGATAGACAGCTATGGTTAACATTGCTAATCCACCCATCCACTACAAACTCCTGACAGCTTTTGTAGCTGCTTCTCCAGCTGTGGTCTCTAAACAGGAGAGGAAGTTCGTCAGTAGGTGGGCACAGCCTTTGTAATGAGAGAGTTTTTAAAATTCTGAACGTGGAGTATTTTCTGATTAATCTTCATTTTTGCTATGTGCTTTCTTTTGGGGGGGGGCACGAACACATTTTCGCTTGAAGTTGTCTGAATGATGATCCTAGACCTTTGGAACCGTTGCAATGAATAACCCTCAGTTACTCATTCCGTTGGTAGGGACCGAGCATTGAGTACGATTCTGCAAGTACAGAATAGCTGACAAAGTCTGTTATCCATCCAACATAACCTCATTCATCAGTAATGCGTACATAACTCAGTCTGGAGTGGAGAAAGGAGCAGACATGGTGGCACACACCATCCATCCCAGCACTCAGGAGGCAGAGGCAGACAGATCTCTTGTGAGGTAGAGGCCAACCTGGTCTAGAGAGTGAGGTACAGCCAGAGCTCTGTAGTAAAACTATGTCTCAAGAAAAAAAAAAAGTTGGTGTGTATGTAGGAATTGATATAGGAAAAGAATATAGTCACTGGAGTGATAAGTGTATGAAGGCTTGCTTGGAAATCCTTATTTGTCAAGAAAATACAAATTAAAACCAGGCAGGTACTACACATTCACCAAAATAAAGTGTACTTTCGGACCCAGGGCCTCAGGCATGCAGCCTACCTCTGAACTACATTCAGCCCTTGTTATGAAAAGATTGACAATACCAAGAAGTGACATGGGCAGAAGGCCTTGAAACTCATAATGTCTTTACTGCTGATTTATTATCCAAGAGCGTCTGTCGCTACCTACAAAGTAACTTGTCTGAAAATGTTCTGAATGGACTGAAGTGATAGCTCAGTGGGTAGCATGCTGTCTGCATTGGCACGAGGCGGGATCCCAGCCCCCGACACTGGCTCCACCACAGCCTAGAGAGTGAGAGGTGGAGATGGCAGGTCTCTAGAGCTCACTGGCTCCCTAGACTGGTGAGTTGTGGGTTCAGGGCGACTGAAGGGGATCCCGTGTTGACTTTTGAGCCCCACATGCATGTACACACCACATATGTACACATTTACATGCAGAAACAAATGCACACACAAGCAGAGGCATGGGAATCTGAGTTTGAAGCCAGCCTGGTCTACATAGTGAGTTCCAGGACAGCCAGGGCCATGTACAGAGTCCCTCCTTAAAGAAAGAAAGGGAAAGGGAAGAAAAGAAAGGAGAAAAAAGACAAGGAAAGGAAAAAAAAGAGAAAAATGTAACTCTCTGGCTGGCATTGAGGGCTCAGGGATGGAGGGGACTTGTTTCTGATGACCTTAATTTGCTCACGGGGTGGAAGGGGGGAACGAGCTCTGGAAAGCTTACCCTGTGATGTCCACATGCACACACACAAAATAAATAAGCAAAAATGTTTTTAAAATGTTTATCTGGCTAGGCGGTGGTGGCGCACGCCTTTAATCCCAGCACAAAAAAAAAAAGTTTTTCTAAAATATACATTTCTGAAGATAAAGGAAAAAGCTGAAATGAAGATTCAACTATTTTAATGAATTTATAGGCTTAGGAATTAGAGATATTCTCAGCTAGTTTATATTGTTTTCTATATTTTTTCCAGTTTTTACATAGATTGTGTAGTCAGAACAAGTGTTCTGTTGCTGTTTTGTCATTTAATTCTTTTTTTTTTTTTTTTTTTTTTTTTTTTTTTTGGTTTTTCGAGACAGGGTTTCTCTGTGTACCCCTGGCTGTCCTGAAACTCACTCTGTAGACCAGGCTGGCCTCAAACTCAGAAATCCACCTGCCTCTGCCTCCCAAGTGTTGGGATTAAAGATGTGCGCCACCACCGCCCGGCTAATTCTTTCTTTCTTTTTTTTTTTTTAAAGATTTTCTTTATGTTATGTGTATGAGTACACTATAGCTGTCTTCAGAAACACCAAAAGACAGCATCAGATCCCATTACAGATGGTTGTGAGCCACCATGTGGTTGCTGGGATTTGAACTCAGGACCTCTTGGAGAGCAATTGGTGCTCTTAACCTCTGAGCTGTCTCTAAGATTTTGCTTTCTCAGTAGTAACCAGTAACAGTTAATAATTAGATTAGGTTGAAATCTTGTTCAGTAGAAACTGCTGTATATGCTTCTGAATAGAGGGATAATTTCTTAATGGCTTTTTTTTCTCTTTCCTTTAGGGAGCTGAGTATGAGCTATAATTTAGAATAGCATGGCAGTTGTTGGTTTTGTTGCCTTTATTCAAATATAAATTTTGAAATATTTTTTAAACATTGGACAGCAAACAGAGCAGTTTTGTGTGTGTTTTTGATTTGGTTGGCTTTTTGTTTGTTTGTCTTGTTTTGTTTTTTAGCAAGTCTGTGTAATTCTGGCTGTCCTTTAGCTTGATATATGTTGTCCAGGCTGGCTTTGAACTCACAGAGATCCGCCTGCTTCTGCCCTCCTGTGTGCTGGGATTAAAGGTGTCTTAGAGCAGGTGTTTTTAATTGCCCGATGTTTGTCATGAAACTGTTGAATAGGCGGGCGGTGGTGGCGCACGCCTTTAATCCCAGCACTTGGGAGGCAGAGGCAGGTGGATTTCTGAGTTCGAGGCCAGCCTGGTCTACAGAGTGAGTTCCAGGACAGCCAGGGCTATACAGAGAAACCCTGTCTCGAAAAACAAAACAAAAAAAACCAAACAAACAAAAAAAAGAAACTGTTGAATAGTAACAGAACATGGGAAGTCATACTTGATACAAATCAGGAAATTTCCAGTTATTTCTAACCAACTCTGTAAGTCAAGCAGCACAAGGGTCACATCGTCTTCACTACTTTTACTTGATTATTTTTTATTTTTATTTATATGTATGTATGCTTGTCTGTGTGTGAACCTAGATATTAGATCCCCTGGAGCTGGAGTTACAGGTACTTGTGAGCTGCCTGCTGTGGGTGCTGGGAACCAAACCTGGGTCCTCTGCAAAAGCAGAAAGTGGTCTTTGAGCATCTGTCCAGCCAGTTCATTGTGGATTTTGTTTTGTTTTTAACATTTTATTTATTATTGTGATGTGTATGGAGGTCAGAGGACAACTTCTGGGAGTCAGTTCTCTCCTGCCACTCTGGTTTCCAACTTGTCAGGCTTGCTTGGTAAGTGCTTTTATCTTTAATTATGTGTAAGTGCAGGTACCCAAGGAGGCCAGAGGTGTCACATCGCCTTGAGGTACAGGCAGTAGTAAGCCGTCCTGATGTTGGTCCTGGAATTGAACACGGGTCCCCTGCTAGAGCAGTACAGTACATGCTCTGAACAGAATGAATCATCTCTGTACCTCTGAGTAGTAGTTCATTTTAATGAAGATGTTTAATTATGAAGACTAGTGTGTTGTTGCTTTTGTAGTTAATGAGGTCATGTTTCCCCGTGTCTTATTTTCCTTCAGGTAGTGAAGCCACATGCTCCATTAATAAAGTTCCCTAACAGAAGAGACAGACCTAAACTCAGTGGTAAGTTGTATTTCATTTAGATATTTTTTAAAATGTGCCCATCATAATTAGAATGAATATTAGAGACAGTATTTCTCAACTTTATAATCAGGTAGGTTGTTGGAGTTTAGTTCAAATTATTACCCAAGTAGTATACAAGTTAAGAACTTTTGGTGGGGTGGGGGATATAGAGTCTTTTTTTTTTTTTCTTTTTTTTTTCTTTCTTTTTTTTATTTTTTTATTTTTTTATTTTGTTTTTTTATTTTTTATTTTTATTTTGGGATATAGAGTCTTACCGTGTAGCTCTGGCTGACCTGGGACTGGATATGTAGACCAGAGCTTGACCTCACAGAGCAACTCTGCCTCTAAGTGCTGAGGTTAAAGGTGACTATCACCACGCCCAGCTATTAAGTAACTTCTTATTATCCCTGTTACATTTATTTTAAAGATTGATTTATTTATTTATTTATTTATTTATTGTATGTGAGTGTACTGTGGCTGTCTTCAGACATACCAGAAGAGGGCATCAGGTCTCATTACAGATGGTTGTGAGCCACCATGTGGTTGCTGGGAATTGAACTCAGGACCTCTGGAAGAACAATTAGTGCTCTTAACCGCTGAGCCATCTTTCCAGCCCTTATTGGTTTTTTTTTTTTTTTTTTTTTTTTTTTTTGGGTTTTTCGAGACAGGGTTTCTCTTTATAGCCCGGGCTGTCCTGGAACTCACTCTGTAGACCAGGCTAGCCTCGAACTCTCGAACTCAGAAATCCTCCTGCCTCTGCCTCCCAAGTGCTGGGATTAAAGGCATGCGCCACCACTGCCCGGCCTTATTGTATTTTTTAATAAACTCAAAAAAATTTTTAATATTTTTGAATATGACTGTTTTTCCTGCATGTATGTTATCTGTACAACATGTATGCCTGGTGTCCACAGAGGTCCTAAGAGGGTGTCAGATCCCTGGAACTGGAGTTATGGATTGTTTTGAGTCACTGTGTGGGACCTGGGAATCAAACACAGGTCTTGGAAGCCAGTGCCTTTTATCATGGAGCCATCTCACAGTCCCTAAAGGGAATCTGGAGAGACAGGCTTGGATGATGTGTTTTTGGGGAATCAAACTTGTATCCTTTAGAAGATGAATGTGACCTTCAGTGGTTGGGCTGTCTCTCATGGTAGTCACTTACTTCTTTTAAAACTTTCTTCACTTTATTTGTTCAGTGTATGTGTGTGTGTGTATGTATGTGTGTGTATGTATGTGTGTGTTAGTGCATTAGATCTCGAGTGTACCCTTGTTACAGTGCATGTATGGAGGTCAGGACAGCTTGTAGGAGGAGCCAGTGCTCTCCTCCTACCACGAGTGCCAGGGATCAAGCTTTTTTTTTTTTTTTTTTTTTTTGGTTTTTCGAGACAGGGTTTCTCTGTATAGCCCGGGCTGTCCTGGAACTCACTCTGTAGACCAGGCTGGCCTCGAACTCAGAAATCCGCCTGCCTCTGCCTCCCGAGTGCTGGGATTAAAGGCGTGCGCCACCACCGCCCGGCTGGGATCAAGCTTTTACAAGGACCTGGGTCCAAGCCCATCACTGCCGGACCCAAGACAAAAAAGATAACTTTCTTTCAAAAAGAATATTACAAGTATGTGTGTGTGTATGTGTGTGTGCGTGTTTATACATATAAACATATACATATATGTTTATGTGTATATTTATTACATATATATGTATATATACATATAGTAGTTCATGAACTATTTGAAGCCATGTATAGTGGTACATACCTATAATTTTAGCACTCAGGAGGTTGAGGAGGAGGATTGTTAAAGCAAATTGAGGAATGGCATGATTTATTTATTTAAATAAAGTTTTGTTGACTTAATTTGTATGGGCATTTTGTCTGGATGTATGTCCGTGAATCACATATATGCCTGGTACAGAAGAGAGTGTCAGACCCTCTGGAACTGGAGTCACAGTCAGCATGAGCTCCCTGTGGGTACTGGGAACTAAGCCTCCATCCTCTAGAAAAGCCAAGTGCTCTTAACTTCTGAGCCATCTCACCAGCCTCAGTGACTTGTTATAAAAGATGCCTTGATTATTCAGTTGTAGATAAATAAAAAATTCCCATGTAAAGATGCCTGGGTAATTCTCTAACTAGTATTTTTGTTTTTAATTTGAGCCTCAGAAGCTCTGGGATCTGCTGCACTACCCTCCCACTCTTCTGTAGTTTCACAGCATTCTAAAGGAAGTATGTCCCCAGATTTACTGATGCATCAGGGGCCACCAGACACTGCAGAAATAATAAAATCATTACCTCAGAAATACAGAAGGAAACCGATGTCTCAAGAGGAAATGGAATTTATCCAGGTACGTTGTTGTTCTCTAGCACAAGACTGTGTAGAATGCCCATGACATTTTGGGTTTGCAGTTTCCTCCCTTTGTTTTGTCAAATGGGATCATAGCTAAGGGAGATGAAGAGACAGGCCAGGGTGCAAATCACAGTTGGGACCATCAGTAAGTATGGAGGATATCTTATTTTACTGCTGTGAACAGACACCATGACCAGTGCAACTCTTATAAAGGACAGCATTTAATTGGGGCTGGCTTACAGGTTCAGAGGTTCAGTCCATTATCATCAAGGCGGGAGCATGGCAGCATCCAGGCAGGCATGGTACAGGTAGCGGTGAGAGTTCTATATCTTCATCTGAAGGCTGCTAACAGAATACTGACTTCTAGGCACCTAGGATGAGGGTCTTAAGACCACACCCACAGTGACACACCTACTCCAGCAAGGCCACACCTCCTAATAGTGGCCACTCCCTGGCCCAAGCACATACAAAACATCACAGAGGACATATGAAGAAACAAAACCATACAGAGGGTTTGAGATGTAGCTCATTAGTAGAACTCCTGCCTAGCATGTGCCAAACCCTGGGTTCAGTCTCCACAAAACATAAAACCTTATGAAAAAAAAGCCCTTTGGGTGAGAGGTTTGTAAGTTTTCAAAGTATAAAGGGCTTCTGAGACCATGGATAAATTTGAGGGTAACTTATGTCATCAATTATCTTTTTTTCATTTATTTTTTTTTTTTTAAACAGGGTCTCTCTATACAGCTCTAGTTGTCCTGGAATTTGCTAAGACCAGGCTGGCCTCAAACTCAACAGAGATCTGCCTGCTTCCGTCTGCCACATGCTAGGATTAAAAAGTACACCACCCCACCCAGCTTTGCCAACAGTATTGAGTCCTTTCTAGATCTGAATTTACAACAGTTACCATAAGAGCCTCCAAAGTATGCTAACTCTAGATTTTCCCCTCTGAGACAAGGTTTTTCTGTGTAGCCCTGGCTGTCCTGAAACTTGCTGTGTAGACCAGGCTGGCCTTGAATTCATAGATTCCACCTGCCTCTGCCTCCCTAGTACTGGAAGTGGAATTAAAAATGTGAGCTACCACCACCTGGCTTCTTCTTCTCTCTCTCTTTTTTTTTTTTTTTTTTAAGTCAGGAGCTGGAGGAATAGATGACTCAGTGCTTATGAGCACTGGTTTTTCTTCCAGAGGACCTGGGTTCGGTTCCCAGCACCACATGGGAGCTCACAACTGTCTGTTATTCTAATTCCAGGGCATCTGATCCCCTCTCATCTGATATTTTATGCATATAAAAGTAAAATTAAATAAATTATTAAAGAATCATAATCAGTTTAAAAGAATCAAAAGCTGTTTGGGATTGGTGGCTTATAACTATAATCTTAACTCAGAAGGTTGAAGCAGGAGGATTGCCATGATTTCTCAGAGGCCAATCTCGGTTACAGAGTGAGACCTTGTCTCAAACAGCCAGAGCTGGGAGATCACTTTTTATTGTGCAAACAATGGCCAGTTTTGTACTGACCTCATTGCTTTATGCCTCTCTTTTCAGCGTGGGGGTCCAGAGTGATCGTCGTGGCTGCTGCTTGTCACCAGACAGAAGGATTAGCTTTACAATAAAGGACTTCCACAATGTCAAATGAAAAGTCATATATTAAACAACCTTAATAAATATTCTGTAAGCAGAATGAAGTATAGAAACTCCAGGTGGTCACTTGTATCTCCTGCGTTATGTATCTTGGTCAGCTTCCCCACAAGCTGACCTGTAAACTTATTAAAGTCTACATTTTTAAATACTAGCCTGTTAACTCACTCTTGATTATGAAGTGTTCCCAGTGATGAGTTATTGAAAGCACATAGTCTCTAATAAACGTCCCCTTTTCTGTTGGTTTAGATGTAAAGATAATTTATGAAGGATAATTACTGCTATAAGGAAGTTTTTCCCCCCTGAAATTAGATGAGGATCAGTGAAATATTTCCATTGTTAATTCTCTGATTTTTTTTTTCACTTATAAGGTTATCTGAATATAACTGATGTGACCATACCCTATTCCAAGTAATAAAAATGCAATTTAAATAAAAGCTGGCAGTGGGATTAAGACTATGAAGAGTAGTTATAGTTTGTAACTATAAAAGGTTATTTGTACCTATATTCAGAAAAAGTATCTGTACTGTAGGGAGGAGGCAGCCTTAGGTGAGTGAAGTGTTTATGAGTGTTGATCCGTGCACACTGAGACGAACGACGGCAGCTTCTTCCATCCTGACATTTTTCCAGCCTGAGATTGCTGTTCTACAGAGACCTATGAAGACTAGCTAATGCCCCCTGTGCTTGTGGCTGCTAAGAAGGCTGAGGTTCTGGGAGCAGCAGGAGAACCCTACCTGATCCTAGCTTCACTGAACGTGTGTCATTTCTTCATTGTCTCACTGCTGCTAGTTGGGTTCCAGAAACCCAGCCCTGTGGGTCATGGCAATGTATAAAGTAGAAAACAATAAGAAAATGAATGTAGCATAGGAACAAATATTTCACTAGAAATTTCTACTTAGTATGTTTGGGAGGGTTCTCGTTCATCTTACTGTTGGGTTGTGATCCTGTTTGCAAATCCTGATAGTTAACTTCCAAGTCTAACTTACTGGGCAACCAGTGACACTACAATGGGTTCTCCTTACAGTGATCTTCAAAAAGCTGACTAAATCCATACTTGTAATGACTTATAGCATATACCTTTTAAAGAAGTCATCCTTAATGATGAGTAGCCCATAGCCAGTAGACGCTAGGATTGTTTACTTTTATTTTTGTTCAGTTTTCCATGAGCTAATCTTGTTTTTTTCCTATCATTCAAGAGTTTATTTCTCTTACAAATTCTGTGCTGTGAATGGGTTTACATTTGATTTTAATAGTAAGCTATTCTAGTAACTAATGAAAAATACATAATTCATCTTTTTTTTTTTTTTTTGTGCCAGGGTCTTACTATATAGTTTGGTTTGCCTACAGCTTGCTGCATAGACCAGGGTGGCTTTGAACTCATAGAGATCCCTGTTCCCTGTTCCTGCCTCTCAGTGCTAGGATTAAAGCCATGTACTTCGTGTCTAGCTATGATTCGTCTCGTTTTTTCCAGAGAAGGTTATTTGTGGGGGAAGACACAGCTTTGTAAGTAGTGTGCTTGTCAAGCAGTCCTGAGTGCCAAGACTGGAGTCTCAGAACCCATGTACAAAGCTGGGAGCAGTTATATACTTATAACTGTACTGCTGGGAAGGTAGAGGCAGGACCCTGGAGCAGTTGGGCCAGCCAGCCTAGCTGAGTTGGTGAGCTGAGTGAGAGACTGTCTTGGAAAACCAGATGGAGAAATTGAACAAGACACCCAACACTGACTGACCTCTGCTTCTGCTTCTGCATATGTCCCCTAAACATACACAACACAAAAACATTCACAAATTACTTGAGGCTGAGGGTACAGCTCAGTGAGCTCTTGCCTAGCATGTACAAGGCTCTAGATTCAATCTTATGGCTTCAAAACAGAAAGATGGATTTCTATAGTCTATGGGTGTTTTACTTGGTCCTAGGCAATGACAAAGGTCTGCGGCAATAATAGCTAGCTAACCACTTTCCAGTCATTGGCTTTACCCCTCCAAAGTCGCTTAAGCCTTCGAGCAGTGTTTGAGTAGGTCCTATCATAGAGGAGGGAACTATGTTCAGGTAGAAATAAGTTTAAGTCTTTCATCTAGTGATTGAATACTGGTTGGCCAGCATTCAAAAGCAGGCCGCTACTAGACTATACTACCATCTTTTTTCTTTTAAGATTTATTTATTTTATATATAGCAGTACTCTATCTGCAAGGCATCAGATCCCATTATAGATGGTTGTGAGCCACCTTGTGGTTGCTGGAAATTGAACTGAGGATGTCTGGGTGAACAGGCAAGGCTTTTAACTTGTGAGACATCTCTCCACCCTATCCTAGCATCTTAATAATCAGTACTTGTATTCTGTTGCTGTCTCCAACATATCTCTTTTTTTTTTTTTGGTTTTTCGAGACAAGGTTTTTCTGTGTAGCCCGGGCTGTCCTGGAACTCACTCGGTAGACCAGGCTGGCCTCGAACTCAGAAATCCGCCTGCCTCTGCCTCCCAAGTGCTGGGATTAAAGGCGTGCGCCACCACCGCCCGGCTCCAACATATCTCTTAAGATTTCTAATTTTTAGAATCATCAATTGCAAAGAGGAAAAATAGCCATATTGACAGCTACTCCAACTCAGAACTTTGGGGTCAGCCTGTTTGTTAGTGGATTTTTGTGTGCTAGGGGTGAAAATTGGTAACACTTTGATGAAGCCATCTGCTTTACCACAGTACCAGCAGACCTTCTTTCTAGTTATAGTAGGGTCTCTTAGCAGCCAAAGGAAACATTTTAAAATATTATCTGGGGCCAGAGAGGTAAAACTACTACCATCAAGCCTGAAGACCTGACTTAAAGTGTCACTGTGGTACCCCTACCATAACCAATAATCACAATAAATAAAATATAATAAAATTTTAATCTGATTCTATTGTTAACATTCTGTGGACTTACAGTGACATCTTTCTTGCATTGGCCTATCTAAAACCGCAAAACACCATCTCCATGGTAAACTAGAATAACCATCATGCTTCATGTTTAACTTTTTTGAGACAGGATCTCACTATGTAGATGTAGATGGTCTGGACCTTTTTTTTTTTTTTTTAATCTTCCACTACAATGAGATGTTTTGTTAAATGATATTTTCAGATTTACAGTAATGTTTGGCACATAGAAAGCAATACATATTTGTGATTTTTTTTTTTTTTTTTTTTTTTTTAGTTGTTTTGAGACAAGGTCTCTTTTTTTGTATCCCTGACTGGCCTGGAAGTTACTGAATAGATCAGGCTGGCCTTGAGCTAAGAGAGATCTGCCTGCCTGTGCCTCCCTAGTGGTGGGATTAAAGGCAGGAAGCATCTTTTGTTGTTGTTGTTGCTTTCTTGTTTTTGTTTTGTTTTGAGACAGGGTTTCTCTGTATAGCCCTGGCTGTCCTGAAACTTACTCTGTAGACCAGGCTGGCCTCGAACTCAGAAATCTGCCTGCCTCTGCCTCCCAAGTGCTGGGATTAAAGGCATATGCCACCACTGCCTGGCTCTTGTGTGGATCTCTTAAATTTTATTAACAAAGGTATTAAGGGGCTTGGAGATGGCTCAGCATTTTAAAAACAAACAAACAAAGACATTTATTTGTGTATATGAGTGCTCTATTTGCATGTATGCCTGCATGACAGAAGAGGGCATCTGATCGTATAAGCCACCACATGATTCCTGGGAATTGAACTCAGGACCTCTGGAATATGCAGTCTGTGCTTTTATATGCTCAGCTCCTAAGAGCAGTTGCTGCTCTTCCAGGTTCAGTTCCCAGCGCCACCACTGCCCGGAGTGAAGATCAATTCTTAAATCCACCAGCGAATTGAGCCCTCAACAAAACCACCCTCTACCCAGCAAACTGGAGCGACTTGGAAAAAAAATACGACTCAACAGGAAACCATTGCTGGAGTTGACAGCTAGGCTTTCAGCTAGGCTTAAGGCGTAATCACTACATAGCAAACACTGTCCCTATGTCTAAAGGCTCTGGATGTTTCTCTTAATTCATTAGTTCCTAATCTTTAGAAGACCAAAGGCTTATTCCGTAGCATTCAGTGGGACTTGGTTTTGCTTCCCTGGGTCTGTTTCTTCATAAATCAGCTTTTAAGAACTTGAGGGTGGGACGGGGAGGGTGGACCAGACTGTGTGAGAGGGGAACAGGAAGGAAGTGAGGCAGCGATCGGGATGGAAAGTGATTAAGTCAATAAATTAGTGGGAAAACAAAATGAAAAAAAAACATGCACAAAGGAAAAAAAAAAAAACCAAATGGGTCTCTTTAGGAGTGGTTTGGTGTCCATAGCTACATTCCGAACTCAGAAACACCATGTCAGAAAGCTGACCTATCCTTGGAAACGAAGAAAACCCACATTGAATACAAAACCAGCAACAAATGGACAGCCGACAGCAGTCCAGAGAACTCAGAGCTTCCGGCTAGGGTGTGCACGTGGCAGCGGGGGAGGGTACAGTTCACAGCCCAGCTCAGCTTCCGTAGGGCCGGCCCCGCCCACAGCGGAAGTGAGGGCGGAGCCAGTAGGTGGTGTGCGTCCAGTGGACGGAAGTAGCTGTTGGGAGCTTTCAGACGCTTTAAATTCCTGCGGGGTGGAGGGCTTAGCTTAGTTGCTGGAGTCTGGCTTCACACTCGCATGGCTGTGGACGTGAAGTCTCGAGCAAAGCGCTATGAGAAACTGGACTTCCTCGGGGAGGGACAGGTGAGGCCTTGGGCTGAGTCGGCCGGCGCGGCCGATTTCGCGCAGGAACAGCCTGGCCACCGCCGGCTGGTACCCCTTGTCACCATCCTTGAGCTTCTCCCTTCTGGAGAAGAGGCCTCCAGACCATGTAGCAGGCTGTTTCCGAGTCCCCTCCAGAATCAGGGTTTCTTTGTTCTTAAAAAGGGTGGGGGAGGGAGGCCTCGGACCCAAAACCAACCACCAGGTAAAGACCTCTCACGAATTTGTTACTGTTTTCCTTTCTAGTTTGCTACGGTCTATAAGGCCAGAGATAAGAACACCAACCAAATCGTCGCCATTAAGAAAGTGAGTTACCTTTTTATGTTGTTTCCTCTCCAGTCTTTGTGTCTTGCTTTCCACGTAGCCCTGGCTGGCGCGGAGCTCGCAATTTAGACCTGGCTGTCTTAGAACTTGCTGCGAGCTTAACCCTTCTGCTTTCTGTTTTTTGGATTTGGGGGTTTGCAGGCTTGCTCCACCACGCCAGGCAACTCTTAGAGAAAATGTCTGTGCATTAACGGTTGATTGATGGCTATCTGTCTGTGAGACAGTCTTGCTATGTAGTCCAGATTGGTCTCCAACTCGTGGAAATCCTCCTGCCTCTGCTTCCTGAGTGCTGGGGATTACAGACATGGACTACCTTTGGCTTCATTTTGTTACCTACAGTCACACTCTGTGGGAGTTACAAGAACTCTATAAACAGTAGTATTTATTAGTGTCTTGTGTTTCAAGATGGAACTAGGGCTGAACCAATTTTTGTTCAAATAATGTAAGTTAAAATATTTCGTTCCGACGGGCAGTGGTGGCGCATGCCTTTAATGCCAGCACTTGGGAGGTAGAGGTAGGCAGATTTCTGAGTTCGAGGCCAGCCTGGTCTACAGAGTGAGTTCCAGGACAGCCAGGGCTACACAGAGAAACCCTGTCTCGAAACATTTCGTTCCATAAAAGTTGGTTGTTGTCCAAGAAGACAAGTACAGCGTCTCTTCAGCCCCTTTGGATAGCATGATCTTTCCAGGTTGTTACACGTGTGTTATCTGTACAGAAAGGTTTTCATTGGCATCAGCAATACTGATAATAGTGTATTTTCTAAAAAGATTTAAGTATTCTTAAAACTTAAATTCATTAACAACACTTGACGTAATTTCCTGTGTGCCAAATTTACTTTTTTTTTCCAACTTAACTTCCAGATAGCCTGTAAAATAGGTAAAGGTGTCCTTCACCTTTGAGGTGAAGTTAGATGACTTCAGGATCGCACAGCTAGTAATGCAGAGGCATTAGAACAGAGCTGTTGGTTGTTCTTTCTTCCTCTGCTGAAATCTATTGCCAGCTCATGGTGACTGTGTCTCCTCATATGCTACTTTGTATCTGTTGTTTCCTTTGAAGTGTGGATTATCCGGCTTGCACCCAGCAGCCTCCCAAGTACGCCTTTTCCTTCATTTAGTTTTCGGCTTGCTGTCTTTCCAAGAATTTCTGATATTATCTTTGTTTTATTTTACGGGATTATTTTTGTATCAGTATTTTCAGGTGGGGGTGCTTTCATGCAACAGTGCATGTGTAGGATCCAGGACAACTGCAGAGCTCGTTCTCTTTCTGCCTTGTAGGTTTCAGGGATTGAACTCTGGCTTGGTGACAAGTGCCTTCACCCAGTAAGCCATATTGCTGGCTCCTGTTTTATTTTTTCACTTTTCAGATTCTTGTTTTCTAGTTTGTGCTTTGTGATCTACTGACGTCAAGATTCTCTTGACTGGGCGTGGCTTATTTCTGTAATCCCAGCTACTTCAAAGGCTGAGGCAAGAGAATCAAATGGCAGCATTTCCCAGCACTGGGGAGGTGGAGATAGGCAAATCCCAGAGGCTGCCTCTGTGCAGCATATCCTACGTGGTGAATGCCTGTGAGAGATACTTTCTCACAAAAAACAAGGTGGACAGTATCTCAGGAAGGACATCTGAGCTGTCCTCTAGCCTGCACATGCACATACAAAAACATACATACCTACACCTACATTTATGCACCCTTAAAGACATACTCACATGAAGTATAGGACATTCTTGGGCTAGTGTGGACAACTTAGTAAGACCCTGTCTGAAAATAGAAAGTAAAACTGAGGCCTAAGCTCAGTGGTTGAGCATTTGCCCAGTACATGTGAAGCCCGCTGTTGTGGAAAACAAGCACCAGAAGAACCAATAAAACACCAGAAACTCTTTAATTTCCTTTTTCCTGAGACAGGAACTCTGTAGCCTAGACTGGCCTGAAACTCGCTATGTAGCCCAGGCAGACTCCCGTCAGTCCTCCTGCTCCAGCCTCTCAAGTGATTGCATTCCTGGGGTGAGCCGCTCCCATCCTCCCCCTTAGCTCTCTGCTGTCTTTGTCATTGCCAGGTCTACTTGTGGCCTACGATCCCAGCCACACTAACCTTTCTATTTCTTGACCATGTTAGATTTGTCCTAGTCCCAGGATCGTTCTGTTTTCTTTTTCTTTTGGTTGCTGTGTTTTCTCTCTAGAACGTGTTGTGGTTGAATTCTGTTTCACTCAGATGTCTGCTCCACCTAGAGGTGCCTTTTAATTACAGCTGGACAAGTGTTTCCCATTGCTTCCCTGCTGTCTGCAGCTCTTCACTCTATATCAACGTCATGCCACTGCCAGACTCTGACATTCTTCCGTCTGAGTTCATATTGACAAGAATCTACTAACGTTATACCTGCGGCTGTGATGAGCGCATCTGTAGGCATTTATTTGTTTATTTATTATGTGTCTGAGTGTTCTGCCTGCATGTACAGCTATGTATATAGAGGCCAGAAGAGTGTTTTATCCCCTGGGACTGGTGTTACAGATGGTTGTGAGCTGTCATATGAGCACTGGGAATCAAACCTAGATCCTCTGGAAGAGCAGTCAGTGTGCTCTTAACCTTGAGCTGCCTCACCTGTCTTGACTTAGCTGGATACAGTGGAGTGTATTCACAGAGACAAGTAGTTGAGACCAGCCTGGGAAAAACATAGTACACTCTGGTATCTGAATCAAGAAAACCTTGAGTTGACTGATACAATCTTTTCATATTGCTGACATATTGGGTTTTGTAATTGTAGATCCATGTGGGGTTTATTGCCTGATTTTAACATTCGTTAGGATTAAGAATTCAGCCTGTCCCTGCTTTGTTAAAGCTCTTCTGACCTGACTCAAGTTCCTATGTAGCAGAGAATGACCTTAAACTCCTGCATCTATCTCCCATGTGCTAGGTATCCTTATGCCACTAGAAAATGTTTCCTCCTTGAAGGTGACATAGATATTTTTGCATTTTATTTCAAATTCATTTTTGTGGTTTTAAAAACTACTAATTAGGCAAAAGCTAAGCTATATTTTCTCTTGTTTTGACTTTTCAGTTTCTTTAACTGAATTTATGTCTGACGTTTGGAGTGGCTGGTTTGAGGGACTTCTCTTACCCAACTTCAACATCGTTTGTACTTTGTTCTGTGAACATCTGAGGATTTGGTGCTTGTGAACCTTCCGTTTCCAACACTCATAATTTCTACTAATACTCACTTGTTAACACCCTCTTTAATTTGACAAGAAGAGGCATTAAACTGGTTTTGCATTTATTATAACTTGGGCTTCTTAAAGTATGGCTGATGTAGTTTAGCAGTTAAGAGCAGTAACTGCTTTTATAGAAACCCAAGTTTGGTTCCCAGAACTCGTGTGGTGGCTAACAACTGTTTGTTCCAAGTGATCCGACATCTGTCTTTTGCAGGCACAAGGCCTGCATGTGATCCATAGACATTCATGCAGGCAAAACACCCACACACATAAAATAAATACTGTTTTTTAAAAAAATCATATAGGATTGCTTAGTTTTCTCTGTTTCCTAACTTGTTTAGCCAATCTGCCTTGGGTCTGTGTGTGTGTGTTTGTATACATATGTGTGTGTCTGTGTGTGTGTTTTAGTGTGTCTTGTACTAGTTGGAGTAAGACATTCCACGGCTCTTCCAGTTAGTTGCCTTTGAGACAAGGTCTCAATAAAACCAGATGCTTGCTATTCTGGATCTTTCTGTCCCAGTCCTCCAGTGATGGGACTTCAGTTACACATGGCCATGGCTGGTCTTTTACGTGGGTATTGGGGATTTGATTCAGGTTCTTATGTTTGCAGAGCCAGAGTTACTACTGTAACACTTTCCTAGGACCCCATCTCCCTTATTATTTTATTTATGTGTGTGCATGTTTGCCTGCATGAGTACGTATGTAGATTGAACCCAGGGCTTTGAGACTTCAGGCAAGTGCTTTATCATTAAGCCACATCCCTACTCTATATTATTGTGTTTTGATTTGGAATTTAAAAGTGTTTAAAGTACAGGTGTTTATGTAGGTGGGAGCACATGGCTACTGTCTGCTCGTGGATGCTAGAGGACAACTTGTGTGTATTAGGGTGAATGGAATGAAGTCTTGGTGGTGTTTTTAAAAATATGCTAGCTGATGTAAGCGTGGCAAAATAGTAATCACTAAAATCTATATGATAAAGGACTTCATGGGATTATTCTACTTTTATTGTGTGTCTACTTTGAGTTCTTTCCCATGTAAATTTCATAATCAATTTGTCAATGTCTTATATTTTGTGCTGTAATACATGGCCTACTTTTAAATAGAAAGTTTTCTTTGTAGTATACAGTTCGAATTTTCTTTTTTGTTTTGTTTTTTGTTTTTTGTTTTTTTCGAGACAGGGTTTCTCTGTGTAGTCCTGGCTGTCCTGGAACTCACTCTGTAGACCAGGCTGGCCTCGAACTCAGAAATCTGCCTGCCTCTGCCTCCCAAGTGCTGGAATTAAAGGCGTGTGCCACCACTGCCCAGTGGTTAGAATTTTCTTAAGGAAGAATAGTTTTCTAGAGGTGATCTTTTTCAGTAATTGACAGCCCTTGTATAAAGTGTAAGGAACACAATGTTCTTTGCCATGGTCATTGCTGTGTATAGTTTGTAGTGCTTATTCAGTACTACTGCTTTTTTTTTTTTTTAATATCTATCACATTTTGTAAGTTTGCTTTGTGAAAAATGTAGAATTATCTACATGAGGGTCTTAAAGCCCACAGTCACAGGAATATATCTCCAACAAGGCCATACTACTCCAACCAGGGCACACCTTCTAATAGTGCCACTTCCAGGGCTAAGCATATTCAAACCATCATGTTCCACTCCCTGGCCCTCATAGGCTTGTTCAAACATATGAGTCTATGGGGTCCATACCTTAAACATAGTATAATAAAAAATACATTAAGTCCAACAACCTGGGCTAAGCATATACAAACCATCTATGTCACTCCTGTTCCCCCCCACCCATAATGCTTGTTCAAACATATGAGTCTATGGGGGCCATACCTAAACATAGTATAATAAAATACATTTAGTCCAACTTCCAGAGCCCTTATAGTCTATAGCAGTCTCAGCAATGTTAAAAGTCCAAAGTTCAAGGTCTCTTCTGAGATTCATCCAATCACTTAACTATAATCCCCAAAGCAAGACAGGAAACCAGCTGGGCACACTCCAAACTCTGCATCTCCATGGCTGATGTCAAAGTGGTCTTCAGATCTCCAACTCCTTTTTCATCTTTAACACAAGTAAAGTTCTTTCTCCTGAGCTGGTTCCACTCTCTGTTAGCAGCTTTCCTCAGCAGATAGCCCATGACTCTGGCATCTTGCACATCTTGGGGTCTCCAAGGCAATTTTAATGTTACAGCTTCTTGTTTCAATGTCTAGGATCTACATATGATCTTCTGGGCTCCTCTAGAGGGCAGCTGTCACTTCTCCAGCTCTGCCTCTGTAGCACTCTAAGCTCAGGTTGATCCACTCCACTGATGCTGTTGTTTTTGATGATCATTCCATGGTACTGGCATCTCAAATACAGTGGGATCTTCCGCTGCAACTAGGCTTTACCAGTAGCCTCTCATAGGCTCTCTTCATAATGCCAAGCTTTAAATCCTTTGCATGACCCCTTCAGTCCTGGGCCTTCAACTGCAGCTGAGGCTGCACCTTCACCAGTGGCCTTCCATGGCCTCTCACAGTGCCAAGCCTCAGCTGTTGTTTATGACTCCTTCATACCTTCAAAACCAGTACCACCTGGGTGACTCTTACACATTACCAAGTCCAGAGATAGTCCAACCTTGGCTATCTCTGGAACACAGCTTTTTCGTGCTCTCAGAAAACACTTCCCAGAAGATTTCACCTCACTGATGCTGGTCACTTAATCACCACTAATTTCTTAGCTCCAGCAAACCAGCATCAGTTGTCCCAGTGGTGTCCTTCTCTTGACTATAAAGTCAGAGCACATGGCTGAAGCTGCCGAGTTCTGCTGCTCGCAGGGGCTGGAACACGGCCCCTTTGATCTATTACATTACCACTAGCTTTCTATTTTCCAACTCCTTCACAGACCCAAGCTTGGCTGTCCTGGATCTTGCTCTGGAGATTGACTTTAAATTTAGAGATCTGTGTGACTGTGTCCTGGGATTAAAGATGTGTACCACCATGCCTGGATTTAAGCTTTTCTTCACCTAGAACTTGCTGTCTCAGGCTGGCCTTGAACTCAGAGGTTCTGCTTGGCTTTATCTCCTGGAATTAAAGGTGCCACCATGGATCTAAATCTTGCCTCAACAAAGTCCCACTCCTTTAATTTGTTACCTTCTTCAACACAGGATTCATTTTACTTCCTGGTACCCCTTTAATACTCGAACCATATATTTTATATTTTTCCTTTCTCAGCTTGCTAAGCTTGTTTAAAATGCTCTTCATGAGATTTAACCAGAGAACAAAGTTTATGATGGGCATTTCTGAGACTTACTTTGTCAGTGCAATTAATCTGTGTCTCTTTACCTTACCCTGAGGCAGACTATTTAGACAAGGGCAAAAAGTAGCCACATTCTTCACCAAAATACCACAAAAACAGTCTTTATGCCACATACTGAAATTCTCCTCTGAAACCACTTGGGCCAGGTCGGCACAGTTCAAATTACTTCCAGCAACAAAGTCTTCCGTATTCCATTAGGATGGCCCATTAAACCCCATTTAAAGCATTCCACTGCTTTCCAAATCCAAAGTCCCAAAATCCACATTTTTCCAAACAAAAGCATGGTCAAGTGTATCACAGTAATATCCCACTCCTAGTACCAATTTTTGTCTTAGTGTTTTACTGCTGTGAACAGACACCATGATCAAGGCAAGTCAAAGGACAACATTTAATTGAGACTGGTTTATAGTCTCAATTCAGAGGTTCAGTCCATTATCATCAAGGTGAGAATATGGTAGCATCAAGGCAGGCATGGTGCAGAAGGAGCTGAGAGTTCTACAGCTTCTGAAGGCTGCTAGTAGGAGACTGACTTCCAGTCAGCTAGGATGAGGGTCTTAAAGCCCACACTCACAGGGACACCTACTCCAACAAGGCCACACCCACTCCAATAAGGCCACACCTTCAAATAGTGCTGCTCCCTGGGCCAAGCATATACAAACCATCACAGCCTGTCTCGAAAAACAAAGGTAGTGGTTGGGGGCAGGGAAGTGGGGGATGTAAAGGAGACAATTATTTTGTGTGTATTCATGTACCACAGCCTACTCTGAAGGTCAGAGAGTTAACTTGTGGGAGTTTTTAATTCCAAATTTGGATCCAGGAGATTAACCTCAGATTGTAGAGTTTGGCCTCAAGTTGGTTTTTCAACTGAGCCATCTTTCAGGTCCAAGATATTTACTATTGGTAAATTCAGTTGTTTGCATGTGTAGTTCAGAAACTTAGGGTAGAAACTTGATTCTTCTTTGGTCTTGCTGTGCTGGTGCTCACACTGGGCTGACCATATTATGACTCCCTGTGCTCCTTTGGATTTCTGGTTGTCCTCATGAGCTATTGCTGCATGTTTTTACTACGGCTGATTTTTTTTTTGTTATATATATATATTTTTTTTTTTTCGAGACAGGGTTTCTCTGTATAGCCCTGGCTGTCCTGGAACTCATTCTGTAGACCAGGCTGGCCTCGAACTCAGAAATCCGCCTGCCTCTGCCTCCCAAGTGCTGGGATTAAAGGCGTGCGCCACCACCGCCCGGCTTGTTATATTTTTTAAGGCAGGGTCTAGAACTCAATATGTAAACCCTGGGTAACCTCAAACTCAAGAGATCTGCTTTCCTGATGATAAGAGTTGAGATAAAGGAATGTACCACCAGTCCCAGCTGTTTTGATTTATTTGATACAGAATTTTGTTATGTAGCCTGGACTTTGCTTCCCAGGTATTGAGACTATAGGTATGCACTACCATGTCAGTTCTACTCGTAGCTAAGTTTTTGTGCATTTAGATTATGCATTGATTTCACACATTGTGAGTTTTTGGTTGGTTTTATTTATAACTTTGATTATCTTATGTGTATCAATGTTTTACTTCCATGTATGTCTGTACCACTTGTGTGCCTGGTGCTATCCAAGGTCAGAAGTGGGCATTGGGTCCCACTAAACTGGCAGTTGTGAGCTGCTGTGTGGATGCTAAGAAATGAACATAGATCCTGAGGAAGTGTCAGTGTTCTTAACCCCTAACCCATCTCCATTCTCTACACGTTATTAATATATGTGTCTTGGCTTTTTTCTCCCTCTTTCTCTCCCAGATCAAACTTGGACACAGGTCAGAAGCTAAAGATGGTAAGTAGTACATGTAATGTGATCAAACAGGAGATATTCTGATGTGAGAAGTGAGGAACATGTCAATGAGTCAATAATAGTTCAGTAGAGTTAGTGCGATGTCGCTAGTGCAACAGTTCTCAACCTGTGGGTCACGACCACAGATGTTTACATTACAATTCATAACAGCAAATTACAGTTGTGAAGTAGCAATGAAAATAATTTTATGGTTGGAAGTCATCACAACATGAGAAACAGTATTAAAGGGTCTCAGTATTGGGAAGGCTGAGAACCAGTGCACTGGAGAATAAAGTGAGTCCAGTTACACACAGCGTGTAAGCATTGCACACTCAGACTGTGCGAGTAGGGGCCAGTAAGGGTATCAGTGTCTTGTCTGGATGCCCTCACTACTGCTGTGGGGGTTGCACATCATTGCTGTTTTGCATTTCTGGTGTTCTACCCGCTTTGAAAAATTGAAGGTTATATCTTCCTAGAAGAAGATACTCTTGTAGAATGGACACATTGGAAAATGTTTATTTCTTATTCTCAAGCCTCTTAGAATGTTAGGTCCTTTTTAGCTGTCAAGTAATAGTTATTATGAAAAAGTCATCTGTGAAAGTGCCAACACTGTTACAATTTTGATTTCTATCACTTGTATTGAAAAAAGGTATCAGTGCTAATTTGCTGTTAGTACACATAGTCTTCCTCTAATGTTTGTCAGACAAGAGAAAAGGCCCTATTACCACATATGCTACTGTAATAATTTCAGAATGATAGAGATAAGTACTTTGCCATTTTTCATATAATGTGATAAGCTACCTTAAAACAATGTGAAAAAGAACTTTCTCATAAAAATAGTTACTCTCTTTTTTGTGTATGTAAAATGTTAATTTTTCTGAATGACCTTTTTTTAAAAAATACACTTGTAAAAAAGTTTGAGATTTTGGAAATTTTGTTCATTTTTTACATTCTTTTTCTATAGGTATAAATAGAACAGCCTTAAGGGAGATAAAGCTCTTACAGGAACTGAGTCATCCAAATATAATTGGTGTGAGTATGGTCTAAGCTGTTTGCTCTTTGGGGTCCTCCATATTCTGAATATGATGGTATTGATCAGAGGCTCAGTATGGTGGATTGATGCAGATAACCTTGCAGACAATTGAAGGTTGACTAGCTTGAAGTGTATTCTCTATCCCACTTTTGCTATGAGTAGTGTCTTTAGAGGAAAGGAATCAAATGTTTCCATACAGGCTAATTTTGTCAGAAATGATTTTGAATCCAGTAGTTAAAAGTAATTTAAATTAGAACTTTTTTTGCCTGTGTGAGGGCTGGAGTGTTTCAGTTAAGTTACTGTAAATTGTGTACTAGAAATACCTGTACCTGGCAAGACGTTTTTTATGGATTTTGCTTAGGAATTTCTGTTTGATTTTGTTTTGTTCAAGACAGGGTTTCTCTGTGTAGCCCTGGCTGTCCTGGAATTCACTCTGTAGACCCGGCTGGCTTCAAATTCAAAGATTTGCTTCTGCCTCCCATGTGCTGGGACCAAAGGTGTGTGCCACCATCCATGACAAGAATTTTTTTTTTAAACATTAAAACTTTTTTTTTCTCTCAAATTTCGAGTGTGTGGCATGCATATTTGCTTGTACATTTTGTCTATGCATGTGTATTTGGAGGCCTGAAGTTCATATAAAATACCATTTTCTCTTACTTTCCATCTTATTCATTGAGGCAGAGTCTCAGTCAAACCCAGAGCTCAGTGATATGGACAGTTTGTTTTAAGCTAACTTGCTCTAGAGACTCCTGTCTTCACTGTCCACAGCTGGAATTACAGACACAGCACTCTTCCTAGCTGGCATTTACATGATTCCTGAAACCTGAACTTTGGTTTAGTCCTTATATTTGTATGGCAGGGCTTTTACTGCTGAGCCATATCCCCAGCCCCAGGAATTGTTCTCAATGAGAAACCAAAGGGAAATTTTCTTCTTCATTTTGTTTTTCGAGACAGGGTTTCTCTGTGTAGCCTTGGCTGTCCTTGAACTTGCTGTGTTGACCAGGCTGACCTCAGACTCAGAGATCATCCTGCCTTTGCCTCCCAAGTGCTGGGATTACAGGCATGTGTCATCACTGCCAGAGCTGTGAAGTTTTCATTAATTTATTTATTCTAACTTTCAGATTTTATGGAGAGGAGTTTTTAAGTTTTTAGTGGGTTTGTTAAATGGGTTAATATTTTTGCACCTAAGAATACTAATTCCTATTAAAAAATAGGGCAAATGTTAAATTTATGAGTCTAAGGTCCATAGGAAATTGCCAGCAGTTTAAAAATTTAAGCCAGGCAGTACCCATTTGTATTATTTATTTATAACCACATGAGATGTGGAGGCAGAAGCAGGAGGATTGAGTTCAAGGCCAGTCTGGACTACACAGCAAGTTCTAGGTCAACATGACATATAGTGATACCTTATCTCAGAATCCAAAGACTGGTAGATATATCTTAGTGGTAGAACACTTGCCTAGCATGCTGAAGGCCCTGGATTTACCAGTAGTGTGTGTGTGTGTGTGAAAAGCAAACATAATTTTTTTAAAAATTACTTCACCAACAATAAATTTCAATATTATTAAATATTGAATAACAATTTAACTTGATTTTTTTTTCTTTGCAGCTCCTTGATGCATTTGGACATAAATCTAACATTAGCCTTGTCTTTGATTTTATGGAAACTGACCTAGAGGTAAGATAGGATTCCTGGAGAGTTACTCCTCTGCTGAGTGAAAGAGAAACCTGTGTGTTTATTTTATACAGGTTTTAAACCTGCTTTAAGAAAATACCGATGCACAAAAAAAATTGCTCAGTTTTGCAGAAGTCGAAGAGATCTCTTATTTCTTTATACTTAATTGTGTTTCTAGTATTAAGTATAGAGATTTAGATTTTATTGGCATTTTACCAAATTCCCTTTAACTTACTGACATTTTTTTGCGCATTAGACTTGTCAGTTTTACATTTATCCCCCAATTACCAAAGGTTAATGTCTTCTTTTAGAAAATCAAGTTTCTTTGTCAAAGTTGTGGGCTTTTTATTAATTAAATCTCTAAAACACTAATAGTCCAAGGATTTAAAACTAAAATTCTTATACATTGAGTCCAAATTCTATAGTCACTTTGGAAAAGTAGTATAGTTTGTTATAATATTAAAGACATGTTTACTATCAGATCACAGGTAAAAGGGATGTTTATGACAGCATTAAGCAGTCAAAGGAATGCACTAAATATAGACCAGTAACAATGCTATATCTTACTATATAGGTCCCCACATCAGTACCCCTAATTCACCAGTACTGAAGTGTGTGTAATAATACCAGTAATACTAGTCATTAGTAACAGTCATGTGCTCTAGCAACAACTGTTTGGTATTTATCCAAGAAAAAACATTTGGTGTGTGGGTGTTCACTAAATCTAGAAACAGCTACAATGTGTTTCACCTAGAGGATGTGTAAACAGTCACCTATACAAGAAAGTACTAAAAAGGAACCAGTAAGTCTAAGAACAAACTGATTGGCAGAATTTACAGATCATCTCATTGGATTCAGTCTTCTTTCCCTCTGTTGCCTTCAGTCATGAGCATACATTTTCACTCTCCTTTCCCAGGCAAGTTCAAGACATACAGTCTAATCTAATTACCCCTGTAAGGAAATGCTTAGTCTCCTTTAATTCTACCACAATCGCTTGGGTCCCTTCCTCTCCCCTCCCTCCCATCCCTCTGTGGGAACTGGCTCTGGAGGGGGTCCCACGAAGATCTCCGGCTTGGCTGAGGACAGGGTACGGTTGGTCAGGGATACAGTGCGAGCAGGGAGAGTCTGCTGCTGCCTCTGACCATGTATGTCTCCACTGTGCCGCTGGGTTGCTCCCAGATGTTGCACCAGGCAGCGGAGGGGGGAGAATCCTGGAGGCATTTCGGGAGAGCTGGCGTCTTCCGAAATGTTGCAGCTCTAATGTTACGGCTCTTTGCTGAGCCTGATGAGTCTCACACACACTTTACTTCTGAGTTGGGCTAATATATAGTTTGGGGTGGGTTAAGGTTTGGCTGCAGGTAACCCCTATTGGCATGGTCTGAGAGCTTGGGGATGCCTCATCCACATGTGGGAGAGCCTGGGGCACTATTCCTACATGACCGATGGCCATAGACCTCTTCATGGGAGTGGCTGTGGAGGGCTGAAGTTGAGAGAGCCAGGGGCCAAGGAACAAAAGCTGAACACCTTCTGTCCCATCGGGGTCCCTGGGGTTCCAAGCTCATTCAGCCAGGCGCCTGGCTGGCTCTCATAGCTCACCACCCCACACTCACCCCCCTTTGTCCGTCTGTCCTCCCTCCCTCCCTCCCTCCCTCCCTCCCCTTCCTTCCTTCCTTCCTTCCTTCCTTCCTTCCTTCCTTCCTTCCTTCCTTCCTTCCTTTTTGTTTTTTTTAGACAGGGTTTCTCTGGGTAGCCTTGGCTGTCCTGGAACTCACTCTGTAGACCAGGCTAGCCTTGAACTCAGAAATCTCCCTGTCCTTGCCTCCCAAGTGCTCAGATTAAAGGCATGCGCCACCACCACCCAGCATTACTTGGGTTTCTTGATTGGTATTAGGTTTTAGGTCATAGGTCATGTGTCTGATCTTAAACAGCCTTTCTCCTGCCAATTCTGTGGAGCTCAGGTAGAGATCAGGTCAATCTTCCTTTTACCATGAGCCGAGCTGGGGTGGTTCCCAAAGTATGCACTTGTTAGAAGGGGCAAGTGAAACCCACAGATAGTCTTTTTTTATTTTTATTTTTATTTTATTAAAGATTTATTTATTTATATATGTGAGTATACTGTTGCTGTCTTCAGACACACCAGAAGAAGGCATCGGATCTGGCATTTGATCCCGTTACAGATGGTTGTGAGCCACCATGTGGTTGCTGGGAATTGAACTCAGGACCTCTGGAAGAGCAGTCAGTGCTCTTAACCACTGAGCTGTCTCTCCAGCCCGATACTCGATACTTCTAAACCAGAGTTGTAGAATACACAATATTGCTTACTCCCCAAACCAATGATACTCTTTTTTAAAACCACTTAATTCTGTTAATTCATACAATGCCTTTTAAAGGAGAGTTGGGTCATCTACCATAGAAGTTCTTGAGTATGAATATATTAATTTTAAATCTGTAAGTTTTGTTAGAGTTCATTTGGAATAATGAAGCATAGCTGTATATTTCATGTCTCCTCTATAGGTTATAATAAAGGATAACAGTCTTGTGTTGACACCATCCCACATTAAAGCCTACATGTTGATGACTCTTCAGGGCTTAGAATATTTACATCAGCATTGGATTCTACACAGGGTAAGATTCTAAGGGGTGTTCTATCTCTGTGAAGTCTTGCTTTGTATTCCAGGATGGCCTGGAATTGGCCGTGCAGCCCAGTTGGCCTCAGATTCATGGTTTTTCTGCTTTGATTCCTGAAGGCCAAAAAGTTATGGGCATGTTTCACCACATCTGACTGTTAATATTGCTGCTTAAGTTTGATTAAACTTTTTGTCAGTGGTCAGTTGGGGTTTTGTTTTATGTATTTTAAGTGTGTGTGTGTGTGTGTGTGTGTGTGTGCAGGTGCCAGAGTACATTGTAGAAGTCAGATGACAACTCCTAGGAGTCAGTTCTCTCCTGCCACTGTGTGGGTTTATGAATCAAATTAAGGTCATTACATTTACTGCAAATGGCTCTAACTGATGAGCCACCTTGCCAGTCAGTTGCTTGTTTTTGTTTAGACTATAGCCCCTTCCCCTGTACCCTCGGCTGGCTCTGTGCTCATGATGATTACTGGTGCATGCCATCATATCCATTTTGATCTTTGTTGTCTAAGGTCCCCTAACACCCTTTGGTCTTTAAGATAGAACTCAATCTGTAGATCAGGCTAGCTCTGCCTCCCACGTATTGGGATTAAGGCATACATTACACGAGTTAACTGGTGCTGGGCCATAGTTCAGTTGGATGCCCAACATACATGAAGCCCCGTGTTCCATCCTCACACCACACTTAGTAAACCCTTGATCCCAGCACTCTAGGGGAGAGACAGAAGCATCAGAAGTTCAGGGTCATCCTCTTTGACAACATAGTGAATTCAAAGCCAGGCTGGGCTGCTCTGTCTTGAATACCTAACTAAATAAGCAAAGCAAGCTAACTAAATGTATCCCTATGTTACTTTCCTCTAATCCTGCTTAATTTTGTTTGTTTTGTTAACTGCTTGATACAGGATCTGAAACCAAACAACTTGTTGTTAGATGAGAATGGAGTTCTGAAACTGGCAGATTTTGGCCTGGCCAAATCGTTTGGGAGCCCTAATAGGGCTTACACGCATCAGGTTGTGACCAGGTAAGAACACAGAAGTGACTCAGGAGTGAGTCACCGTTGGTATGTTCTTAGAACACAGCCCTTTTATATTATGTCTACTTTGCCACAGTAAAACCACACAGCTCTTTTAAACAGAATCTAACTCAGTCCTTCAACTGGATATTTGCTGAACTAACTATTGAGTCTCCAAGTAACTTTTTTTTTTTTATTCAAAAAATTATTGTAAAGTGGGCATGGTTTTGAGTTCCTTTAATCCCAGTACTTGGGAGGAAGAGACAGGCGGATCTTTTGAGTTCTATGTCAGTCAGATCTACAGCATGAGTTCCAGGACAGCCAGGGCAGAAAGACAAGACAGGAAAAAACCTGTCTTGAAAAACCAATATGTATAGGTAGACTGGATCAGTGATGGAAACCACAGGCAAGGTTCTTCCATATAGCAAGGCGTCTTGACCCACAGCAGAGTGTGTCTGCTGTTGATTAACGGAGAGATGAATGGCTAGTCTTTTCATGGTTGCACTGTGGATACCAATCTGAATATTCTCAACTTAATTATTGTATTAAAAAAATAAAGTGGGGGTGGAGTCAGCAGGATATTCCTGGACTTGGGAGATACTCCTGTGCCTCTGAGGTTGCAGCCCAAAAGAGATTCTGAAAACTTTGAGTCTCCAAAGAAGATATCTGCCAGTATACTGTTTGAAAGCTCTTAAACAAAGAAGGTAAAAAGCCCAGGCAACCAAGGTACCTGAGACTCAGTGCCTTGTTACTCCACATGTCCTACAGCACAAACACCAGTGTATTGCTCTGGACCAACAGCATACCAAGAACAATAAGGAGGAAGCTGCAGAGTAAGCTAAACTTCTGGTCAAGAGAATGAAGGAAGTCTAAGATGCCAGGAACAGATTGCCAAGAGACATAGGCTGTCCTCCCCAAAAGTGCCTGCTTCTAAGTCTGAGTTCACCCAAAAGTCTTTAATTATAACAGACAAATGATCAGACCCTGAGAAAAAGTACATGAGAGGAGTTTAGGGGCCGGACGCAGTGTCACACCTGAAACACTCAGCACTGGAATGCAGAGGCAGGAGGATCAAGAATTCAAGATGGCCTTAACTATAGCGATCTTGAGACAGCTACATAAGACCCTGTTTCAAAAAAATATAAAAATAAATGTAGGGAAGAATGAGAGAGAAAGAATTGGACACAGGTGGCTTTTAGAGAAGTAATGTGTTCGCATGTTAATGGGAAGTCAAGTAGAGAGCAGAGTTTATGACAGGAAAGTGGAGAGAATTTCAGCAGTCGTGTTCTTGAGGACTGGAAGGCAGCAGTTGTGGGATCTAAGAAATGCCAGGATACTTCATCTTTCAAAAATCAGCCTTCCTGGGCATGGCGGCCCGCACCTTTAATTCCAGCACTCAGGAGGCAGAGCAGGCAGAGCTCTTGAGTTCTGAGGCCACCCTGGTCTACAGAGCCAGGGATACACAGAGAAACCTGTAAAAGTATCTTTTATTTGCCTGGTATAATTACCATCTCTGGAGGTTTAGTTTCCGTCTGCTAACCTAGGACTAGTCCTGGAAGCTTCTAGTCTCTGTACAAACTTATCTAGTCCTAGAATATTTTCAGCCTGTAAGACTTGCTGAAAAAGCTTGCCCTTTCCTAGTTCTTTTCTTATCTCTGGCTAACTGATTCAACTCAGCTGTTCTGGTTCAATCTGGCTTCTGTCTTTGCCTCTGACTGAATTGCTTTGCTTGGCCTCACAGTAACTCTGGCCATGTAGTCTAATCTTCTGGCTCCTCATTCTCTGGCTTGTTCTGTCTTCACCTGTGTCTATCTTGTTCTCTCTGTAACTTGCTCGATCACTGTCTCCTCTTCTCCCCCTCCCCCCTTTCTCGCTCCACTGCTCTCTTAAGTGGTGTCCTTTTTCTCCCTTCTTGTAAGAGTTGGGCATATCCTATTGTGTCAAATCTTTCTCCAGTTCACCTCTTTGTCTGCCTTTCAGTTAACACCTTTCAAACATGGATGCTCCCTTTTACCAATTGACTTTACCTTCATTGTTTGGGATTAAAGGTGTGTATTAAGGCTGAGCCACACCGCAGCTAGAAACAGTTTTTCCTAGTAAACAACACAATCTTGGAGTTTACAGTGTGATCACTTGTAACCCTGATCAACAGAAACCCTGTGTTGAAAAACAAACAAAGATCATATGATATTATTTGTTTTTGTTCTCAGATGGTACCGGGCCCCTGAGTTATTGTTTGGGGCTAGGATGTATGGTGTTGGAGTGGACATGTGGGCTGTTGGTTGTATATTAGCAGAATTGCTTCTAAGGGTAAGTCCTGAATTCACCTGATCTACCTGTTAAGTATGGTTGATGTAGCTCTTATAATTATTTAGGAGTCATCTTTTTTTTTTTTTTTTTAAAGATTTATTTATTTTTATTTATGAGTACACTGTAGCTGTCTTCAGACACACCAGAAGAGGGCATCCAATCTCATTACGGATGGTTGTGAGCCACCATGTGGTTGCTGGGATTTGAACTCAGGACCTCTGGAAGAGCAGTCAGTGCTCTTAACCGCGGAGCCATCTCTCCAGCCCAGGAGTCATCTTTTTATCATAATCTCTATAGCAAAAAAAAAAAATTGACAAGCAAAGTCAGTTTGTTAAATGAAAGCTTCAGCAGGTATGATGATATACAGTACTGGCATGTGGGAGACCGAGGCAGGAAGATCACTGAGTTGAAGACTACATAGTAAAACTGTGTTGCACAAAACAGAAACAGCCTCACCTAGAGGAAGCAGAACAGTTAATTTAAGAGTTAGAGGCAAATAGCGTGGTTATTTTCACATTGTTATGACAAAATGCCTGACAAATCACATTAAGGGAGGGTGGGTTCTTTTGGCTCGCAGCCTGCGTATAGCCCATATGGCAGAGATGCCATGGCAACAGGAGCTTGAGGTGAGGCTCTTTGTCACATCCCATCTGCAGTCAGGGAGCAGAGGTGAATGCTGTGCACTGCTCAGTGTTGTTTAGTCCAGGGTCTCAGCCCCTATAATGGTTCTACCATATTAGGGTGCATCTTCTCTCTTTAAGTACCACAGTTTAGAAACTGCCTAACACTTGTGCTCAGAGATTTGTTTCCTTGGTGATTAACTCTAAATTACATCAGGCTGACAAGATTAAGCATCACAGAGGCTGGAAAGATAACTAACTCAGTTGATAAAATGCTTTCTGCACAAGCATGAGATTTCTTTCTGTTAGAGCTTGTACCAATTCTGGGTCCAGTTAGAAAACAAACCACATGTAATTTGTTCAGGAACATTTAAGAATAATGCAAGGCGTGGTAGCTTACACCTGTAATCCTAGCACTTGGGAGCCTGAGGCAGAGAGAATCACCTAGAATTTGAAGTTTGCCTGAGTTCCAGAGTAATAACAATGCTCCACCTAATCCCCCAATCTCTTTCCACACTCTGAGCTGAAGTGGGATGGGAATAATGAAGGACTGGCTAATAACTGAGCTAATGTCTAAAGATAAGCAACAGTCACCATTGCCTACCACTTGAGATCATCCAAGGAAAAAATTCTAGGGCTGAAATCTAGATTCTGTTGAGAGACATCTGAGGGTTCTAAGTGCTAAAGTAGCACTTAGGTGTGACACGGTCCTGTCCCAGCAGGGAAAGCTGTCTGTCACCTGGCCTGTCTCCTTGGGATCAAGTAGTGGTTGCCCAGGCCTGCTGGGCTGGGGGTTGGCACAGGCTCTGCTTACCCATTTAGGGTGCCCGTAGAAAAAAGGGGTCACTGCTTAACCACAGCACCTGCTTCAGCTCCAGGAAACCATAGGCTGGTCCTAGATTCACTCAGTGTTTCCAGCAGCTGTGCAGACACAGCATCCTTAGCCACCTCATGCCTATCCTGCCAATCAGAGGCCAGCACAACCCAAATGAGGCCACTGAAAGGCACTGGATGCCCAGGGATCACAATCTGGTATCATAACCGATGCCAGCCGGCAGGCCCTGTTCCTAAACATTTGGTAAGGAACACTGAGCTGCCTAGCTTCATCTGTTGACACAGCAGTTGCACAGCAGCCCGAGCCCCTTGGGACCCCAGCTTGCCCCTGGTCTGAGCTAGTTGGCTGACATCTGGCCGTAGGAACTGCAGTGAGGGGGCCACAAGCTGTTGACGGAAGTGCTGCTTCAGGTCTGGCTTGAGCCACTCCACAGCCACCTGCTCTCCACAGAGGAGTGACTGGCCTTCTACCAGGGCCTTTTTGGCCATGGCAGCAGCTTGGTGCGTGCTGAACTTGAGCAGAACAATCTGAGAGGGCGCAGACCCAGGGCTGGGTAGCAGCAATGTCTCCTGCAGGCATGGGCCGAGCGGTTGCAGGGCGAGCAGTAACGCACGGCGGTTCAGGATAAGAGATAGCCTGTCCACCGTCAGCTTGCACTTCTCGGTGCTTTGGCACACCAGGAGCTGGCAAGAAGGCCGCAGCTGGTGGTTGTGCAGCGTAGCATGGCGGCCTGGGCACTGCGCCGCGAGCTGTAGCGTGCATAGGCAAAGCCGTGGTAAAGCCACTGAAGGTCATCGTTAGGTGGAACTCATAGAGGCACCCCACACACTGGAAGTGTGGGATCAGCTGGTGCTCGTACACATCCTGTGGTGGTAGTCCAATAAACACCTCAGACCCTGACGGGGGCGGGCTTCCCACCCAGACTAGGGGTGGCCCGCCATACTTCCTTTTCCCGTTGACCTGCACCAGGCGGATGCCAGTCTGCCTTACCCATGCCTCCAGGGCTGCCTTGTTCTCTGGATTCACCCTCTCGCACCATTGATCACACTCACGTTTCGACTACATAGCTCTTTCCAAAGTCTTGCACTTCTCTTCTTAGAACTTCCTCAGGCTTCTGCCTCTGGAAGATTCCCTGCCTCCACGCCCCCTCAAGTTCTCATTCGTTTTTTTTTTTTTTTTTTTCTTCACAAAGTTTATAGCACTTTTTTTTGTGTAACCATTCTCACTAATAACCTTGAAATGTCTGTTTCTTATTTTCAGGTTCCTTTTTTGCCTGGAGATTCAGACCTTGATCAGCTAACAAGAATATTTGAGACTTTGGGTACACCAACTGAAGAACAATGGCCTGTAAGACTTACATTTTCTTTGAAACGTACTTAAGATTCTATAATGTTATTTTGTTATATCTGAGCGCAGTTGTGTGTGCACTGAAGAAATTAATTTTGCAGTGCTAGAGATTAAGCCAAGACCTTTCCCATGCTGGACAAGTGTTCTGCCACTGAACTAACTTAATCCAGCCTCATCTACATAGCAGGCTACTGGACAACCAGGACTACATAAAGAGACTGTCAGGGGAAGAAAAGACTGAAGCCAGCAGGAGGTTCTGCAGTGACAAGTTCTTGACAGGGCCAGGTAGAACAGAGTAACGGGGCGGTGCTGCACAGACAGAGCAGAGTAACGGGGCGGTGCTGCACAGACAGAGCAGAGTAACGGGGCGGTGCTGCGCAGACAGAGCAGAGTAACGGGGCGGTGCTGCGCAGACAGAGCAGAGTAACTGGGCGGTGCTGCGCAGACAGAGCAGAGTAACGGGGCGGTGTTGCACACATAGAGCAGAGTAACGGGGCGGTGCTGCACACATAGAGCAGAGGAGGTGCAAGTGTGTCTCAGACCTGATGCTCAGTAGCCGGTTTCCTCATGGTGAAAGTCAGGTTCCTGGAAACCTTAACTTCTTCAACGCTCCAGAATTGATGTCTGCCCCTGGGCAAGGATGTAGAACTCTGTCTTTTCATCTGGGCCTCTGAGAAAGCCTTGGGTTGTCTTTCAACAACAACATTATTACTTACTCATTTTGTTTGCTTGTTTGTTTTTTAAGATTTTTTTTATTTTATGTATGAGTACACTGTTGCTGTCTTCAGACACACCAGAAAAGGACATCAGATCCCATTATAGACGGTTGTGAACCACCATGTGGTTGCTGGGAATTGAACTCAGGAAGAGCAGTCAGTGCTTTTAACTGCTGAGCCATCTCTCCAGCCCCCTTTCTCAGATTCTTTTTTTTTTTTTTTAATTGGATATTTTATTTACATTTCATATATTGTCCCCTTACCCCACCCCCCACCCACCCGGGAACCCCCATCCCCTTACCCCTCCTCCTTCTTCTCCATGGATGTAATCCCCACCTACCCCCCCACTCCCACTTCCCCACCCTCAAAATTCCCACCCCCTGGGGCGTCCAGCCTTCATGGGGTCAAGGATCTCATCTTCCACCTGTTCCCGGCAGGGCCCTCCACTCTTACATATTCAGCTGAAGCCCTGGATCCCTCCATAAGTGCTCCCAGGCTGGTGGTTAGGACCCTGGGAGCTGTGGTTGGTTCTTAAAGTTGAAAAGCTTTTGGCTTTTTATTCCCATTGTAGCCCCAAGTTCTGAGGAGCAAGTAAGTATGAAGGAAATGAATTCCAGGTGCCTGTAGACATGGCTTAGTAGTTAGGAGTACTTACTGCCCAAGCATGAGGGCCTGAATTCGAATATTCAGCAACCAAAAAGTACAGCATGCTTAACTCCACTGCTGTGGGCACAGCTTAACTCTAGGTTCAGTCAGACACATAGGCACACATACACCACACACGTTCTTGCCTCCCTCTCACCAAAAAAGTAAGAAGAAAAGTGGACATTTTAAGCAGAATTTTTATCTTCTTGTTAAAACTATAACAAAAGTATCTGAAGCTAAAGTTAGTATCTAAGGAATTTCTTTTGTGTCATTTCTCAATTTCCTAAATGGAAGTTTTGTTTTTGGTTCCTTTGGGGTTTGGTAAGACTTGACAGAATTCCTTCATGCCTTTCCAGAGCTGTGGATCTCTGGGTCCTCGGTGTACTCCTTTGATTCTCTCTGTCTCTCCATCACTGTCACACAGTATGAATTAAAGTTTGCTCTGTTAGGTCTTAAAGTACGTACATGTAATAATTAACACTTTTTTCTTTTCAAAAAATTTCAACTAACTAGACCTTTACCTCTCTTACAAGAATCAGCTCTTTCTCGTGTTGACTGTTTCAGACCAGGAGCCTGTTTCTCATATCTTATTGAGATGTTTATTTATCAGTATCTATAGCTTTCAGTTCATGAGCCTCTCTACACATTTTGTTAGACTTCTCAACTATGGATTTTTCCTTTGAGCGTGGTTATTAAGTATTATCTTTTCTGTTCTTGTATTTACATGTTTGTCGTGCATATATAAAATGATGATTATTAAATATATGTATGTTACATCTTATACCCTTTACATATTACCAGTTCTAATTTGTTTTTTTCTATAAGTAGTTTTTTTAGGATTTTCTACACAGACTGTCTTAACAGGCCACATTTTGTTTTTTTCTTCCATTTGTGTGTCTTTGTATACTTGACTTAAATTTGGATCATAATTTTTTTCAGGACATGTGTAGTCTTCCAGATTATGTGACGTTTAAGAGTTTCCCTGGGATCCCACTGCAGCACATCTTCATTGCAGCTGGAGACGACCTGCTTGATCTCATCCAAGGCTTGTTCTTGTTTAACCCGTGTACTAGGATTACAGCCTCACAGGTACTTCTACTAGAAAACCTAAGGCTCGTCCACTTAGTAGCATTGATAAAACAAAACTCAAGTTTCTAAAATGTTTAATATCCTTTAAATACCAGGTGTATCTTGGTATGTATATTTGTATCCTTTCCTGAAACTATAAACACTGTCTTGGCTGGTATTAAATTTGTTATGCATACACATCACATAGGAGTTTACACTTGTTTAAGGGTATGTGTGCTTTCACTCCACTGATATATTTCAGATGAATTTATTTTAAATGTATGTGTATGGATGTTTAGGCTGCATGCCTGTTTTTACACCATGTATGTACAGTATCCATAGAGGCCAGAAGAAGGCATCAGATCCCCTGGACTTGGAGTAACAGAAGGTTGAAGGATGGGTGTTGGGAACCAAACCTAGGTCTTGTGGAGGAGCAGCCATTGCTCCAAACTGCTGAGCCCTCTCTCCAGCCTGCTTCACTTGAACTCTCTAATTTTTGAGTCAGGACCTTCTGTAGCCCAAGCTGGCCTTGACTTCAGTATGTAGTTGAAAATGGTACTTACCTACCTTTCTTTCCTTCCTTTCTTTCTTTCGGGGGTGGGGGAGATGGGCAGTGAGGCAGGGTTTCTCTGTGTTGTCCTGGCTGTCCTTGAAGTCACCCTCTATATAGACTAGGTTGGCCTGGAACTCAGAGATCTGCCTGCCTCTGCCTCCCAAGTGCTTAAAGTATGAGCCACTACCCACCTGACACCCCCTCTCCCTCCAGTTTGTCAGGTTTAGTTTTTTGTAGATTTTTTACTTTGTTTTGCTTTTTGGGTTTGTTTGTTTGGTTGGTTGGTTTTTCAGAGATAGTGTGTTTCTCCTGTATAGCCCTGGCTATACCGGAACTTACTTTGTAGACCAGGCTCACAGATCTACCTGCCTCTGCCTTCTGAATACTAGGATTAAAGGTGTGTGCCACCACTGCTGGGCTGCTTTTGGTTTTGATTTGTTTGTTTGTTTACTTTTGAGATAATATGGAGATTGGTGGGTGCAGAGGAGCTGGTAGGAGAAGGGGGAAGAATATAATCAAAATATATTATACTTCAAAAAAATTTACAAGTAAAAATACCCTGATCTTCTGGACTCTTGGAGAGATAGTCTAGAATAAAGAAACTACTGCACCTGTTTGACAGTACTGGTATATTACAAGTAGGTATTAGTTGACAGACTTGTTATTTGGGAGGAAAACACTTTTATATAAAATTGTAAATTCTAGAACATTATATTCTAGTGGTTAATAGAAGCCTTGCATAGGCCCAAACAAAATTTCACCCAGTCAGTTGACTATTGTTTTTGTAATTCGTTGGTCCCAGTATGGGCTTTGTGGTGGTACAAATATTAGAAGGGAGTGTGTCACCCCCCCAAAGCCTCCAGTAACAGGATCAGCAGTTGTAGAATACTGGATGTTTGCTTATGTGTTGTATCCAAATACTTGGTGCTGACTTTTTGTTTGGGGCTATAAGGGTATTTACATACTATTTTTAATGCTGTCGACAATTTGGGGTTGTATTTTCCTACACACAGTACAAACAGTTAAAGCATTCCTTTTGAGTTGGGTATGGTGGTACATGCCTATAATGCCAGCACTCAGAAACAAGTTACAAACCAGCCAGTGCCACACAGTTAGACCTCGTCTCAAAGTAAAAATAAAAACAAAAGAATAAAACCTTACTTCCAGCCAAGCAGTGGTAGGTGGTGCACACCTTTAATCCCAGCATTTGGGAGGCAGAGGCAGGTGGATTTCTGAATTTAAGGCCAGCCTGGTCTACAGAGTGAGTTTCAGGACAGCCAGGGCTACACAGAGAAAACCTGTCTCGAAAAACCACAAAAACAAAAAAACCTTACTTCCAATTTCTTTTCCTTTAAAAGGCACTGAAGACCAAGTACTTCAGTAATCGTCCAGGGCCAACACCTGGATGCCAGCTTCCAAGACCAAACTGCCCAGCGGAAGCCTTAAAGGAACAGTCAAATCCAACCATGGCAACAAAACGGAAAAGGACAGAGGCCTTAGAACAAGGTAAAGATCCCCACTGATAAAAAGCAAACAGAAATGAAATGGCACCAGAAAGCTCTAAATAGCCATGTAGAACTAGCAATTGGAAGCCAGTTAAGAAACTGGAGCCGTGGAGCTGTTTAAACCTTATGAAATGGAGTATGTTCCTGTCCTCCTTAGCTGAGGACACTTGAGGCACTTTTGAGTGTGCCTGATAGTTCTCAGAGCTGTTCATGGGTGCCTTCTGCCCTGTACCCCCACCAACTCGTTCATAGTTTTCCAAATAAGCTTTGTGTGGCTGTTTGTGAATATATGCCATGTGTTTGTGGAGGCCAGAAGAGGGCTTCAGATCCCCGGAGCTGACACTGCGGGTGGCTGTCAGGGACATTGGTCTAGGAACCACACTTGGCTTCTCTGGAAGAGCAGAAGTCCTCTTTATCACTGAGCCAACTTTCTCGCCCTCCCTCTCTTCCCCTTGGATACTGGGTCTCACTGTGTGTCATCCCTGACTGGCCTGGAACTCACTAGTTAGATGAGTCTGCCCTCTTTGAACTTTGCCTCCTGACTACTAGGATGAAGCATATATTCAGCACACCCAGTTGGTTTTGTTTTTAACTTTGTTATTTTAAAATTTTTTGTTAGTTATTTTTATGTGTATGGGTATTTTATTTGCATGTATGTCTGTACCACATGTGTGCAGTCCCCGTGAAGGCCAGAAGTGGGCATCAGATTTCTGGGACTGGAGTTACAGATGCTTCGTGTTGCTGTGTGGTTGTTGGCAATTGAACGAGGTCCTCTGGGAGAGCAGTGAGTGCTCTTAACTGCCCAGCAGTTCTTGCTCTGTGTTAATGGTTAGCAGTGCTGTACGTCAGACAGTGCACTGGATACAGTGAGTGAACAACCTTTTTGTTTCACTTTCAGGAATATTGCCCAAGAAGCTAATTTTTTAGTTGGAGCGAACAATGAACAGTTTCACTGCTGAAAGAAATGATCCAAAGGCAAATAATGGAAAAAAATAGGGAATATTAAATGCTACAGAAGAGAATTTGTAAATATTCTACAGATGTAAAATATGTAAAACTATGGGTTATTTTTATTAAATGTATTTTAAAATAAAATATTTGTGATTTATGATTAGAGTACAAGAATAACTTGAGTTCTCTAAAATGTAATTCATCGTGCATTAGGAGAGGCGTAACATGAGATTACTGGTTATTCTGCAGCTCTGGATGATACACCATTTTAAGATCAATAGGTGTAATACTGAAAACAGAAAAATGCTGTTAGCAGTTTTGCAAGTACATAACCCCACTTACTACCCAGACTAAATAGCCTTGAAAAGCTCGTACTGACACCTCCCTGGATGTCCTCCACCTTGACCTCACTGTGCTCTTCTGCATGCACAGCCAGGACCTTGACTCTGTTCATTTCCTTCCTTTTACCCTCCCCAAGGAAGAGGCTCTGGGGAGCTTTGTGTGTGTCTTTCTGGTTTTGTACTGTTACCTTCAAAGAACTCCATATCACCTTACAGCAGCCCATGCCTTTGATCCTAGCGTGTATGGGCAAGTGGATCTCTAAGAGTTTGAAGACAGCCTGGCCTACATACTGAGCTCTAGGCCAGCCAGGGCTACATAGTAAGATCTTCTCTCAAAAAGTAAACAAAAAACCTATACCATCTCATACTATACTATTGTTTTCTGTTTCTTGTTTATTAATAGATATGAATCTAGTTGATTTAATTACAATATGGTAATATATATGTAAATGTTATTTACCTGTGCTTTGTTTATGGACTATTATTTTTCTATTTCTGTATGAAATTTATAAAACTAGCACGAATTCCCAGGCACAGTGGTGGTTTGTCCCTGTAATCCCCAGATTTAGGAGGGAGAGGCAGGTGGGTCTCTGAGTTCAAAGCCAACCTAGACTTCAGAGTGAGCTCCAGGGCTACATAGTAAGAATCTCGAGAAAAAGGGAACAAGTTTGGGTGTAGCTTGGCGGTAGAACATGTCCTAGCATATCTGAGTACCTGGGTCTGTAAAATAAATACTGCATTAAAGATGCAATATATAGGTAGTATGGCTTGACTCCTTTACTAGTGTTAAACAAGTCTGAAACAAGGTGACAAAGTGTTGGTCACATGAACATTCCTGGTGCCCATGGAGGCCAGAAAATGGCATTGAATCCCCTGAAATTGGAATTACAGATGCTTGTAATCCACCATGCGGGTGCTGGGTATTGAACCCAGGTCCTCTGGAAGATGAGCCAGTGCCTACTTACTGAGTCGTCTCTCCTGCCCACTTTCTGAATGGAACCTTTGGGAGAGCGAAACCTCACTCCTATTCTGCATTCTCCTTGAGTCTCATGGGGATTCAAAAATTATGATTGATATAGAATTCATAGAAGAAAAACTTTACAAGTATATGTAATGTCTGTTTATATGGGGCCAGGTTTGGCTGCTCATGCCTGTAACCCACACTTGTCAGGCTTTTAGTCATGACCACCCCAGATTCAAGGCCAGCTCAATTGCAAGTAGTTCTGTGTCAGTCTGCAGGAGCCCACCCATCTAAATAAAAAAGACAGAGAACCAGTTAAGAGTCAGCTACTTAGCTGGGTGTGCTAGGTAGAGGCAGATATAGATACCTGTAAGTTTGAGGATATCCTGGTCTGCCAGGGGTATATCATGAGACCCTGTCTCATGAATAAAGCCAGCTACTTATGTACTGTATTGGAAAAGAACAGTAAGTAAAGAATAAGTACTAAGTCAGAATGGCTTGATCCATGGCTAGGAACATAAGGATTATCAGGGCTGATTATGCAAATTTCATCAGCATTCTCGTCCTTGGTGCTGAAGATGCATCTTTTTTTCCCCACAGAAAAATTTTATTTATTTATTTATTTATTTTTAATGTGAGTGCTTTGCCTGCTTGTATATTTGTGTCACGTGTGTGCTGGTACTTCTAGGCCAGAAGACGGCATAGTCTCCGAAAACTGCAGTTATGTAATTATGTTGTGCTGTGTAGGTTCTAGGTGAAGCTGGGTCATCTGGGAGAGCCGCAGTGAGCCATCTCTCCGCCCGTCATCTCATGCTTTTTAAGAATACAATGAGTGCTAGTTTATCTTTTTTGTGTCTGATAAGCATGCATGTGTGCAGTCAGGACACAGCATGAATAGAAGTCGATGGACAGCCTTGTCTCATTTTTATCTGCCACCATTTTTTTTTTTTTTTTTTTTTTTTTGGTTTTTCCGTGTCGGGGTTTCTCTTTATAGCTCTGGCTGTCCTGGAACTCACTCTGTAGACCAGGCTGGCCTCGAACTCAGAAATCCACCTGCCTCTGCCTCCCAAGTGCTGGGATTAAAGGCGTGGGCCACCATTGCCTGGCATCTGCCACCATTTTTGAGGCAATATGTCAAGCCACTCTGTGTGCCCAGCTTGCTGGCCCAGCTTACAGAGACCCTTTGACCTTCCTGTAGAGCCCCGGGCCTGCAGACATATGCTCTTGCTCCTAGCTTTGTTTGGGTTTTTAGGTTTCAAACTCCAGTCTTAGGCTTTGGTGGCAAGTGTGTAAAAGCCATCTTCTTCTCCCCAGGAAGGAATCTTTCCCCAGGAAGGAATCTTTTTATACTCACTGGTTCTGGAGTGTCATTGGCAGAGTAGTGTATTTTTAACTTCTTAAGAGCTGTTCTGTTGCTATGATACAGTTCCCTGACAAAAGCGCCTTAAAGGAGAACAGCCTCATTTTTGCCTTAGGATTCCATTGGAATTCAGTCCATCGTGGTAGAGTAGACTCTGCAGTGGGCAGGGAAAGCATGCTTGCAGGAGCAGGAGGCGCTCTGATTGAACTGTTGACCAGGCTGGCCTTGAACTCAAGAGATGGCCTCCCTCTCCTCTCAAGTGATGGGATTAAAGGTGTGCAGCACCGCACTGGCCTTCTTGTAGTTCTTGGAAATTGTTTGGTGCTGGGATCAAGCCTCGGGTTGCACACCGAGCCACGGCCTGAGTCTCAGTTCTTAGTCTTGCCCTGGCTTTTGATGCTGTCATCTCTCAACTTACTTTTTCTTTCCTTCTTCCCTACATGCTTAAGCAGGTTATCTCAGGCTAGCCTTGAACTTATCCTCCTAAGGACCTCAGCCTCCAGAATAGTTAGGATGACAGGCATATTCTATTACTCTCATGCTGGCTTTGTTGTTGTTGTTTAAGTTTTTTAAGACAGGGGTTCTTTGTGTAGCTTTGGCCATCCTAGAACTTTGTAGATGAGGCTAGCCTCGAACTCAGAAATCTGAGTGTTGGGATTAAAGGCATATGCCACCACTGCCTGGCTTAACTCTTGTTTTGTTTGTTTGTTTGTTTGTTTAATGTAGCTAACATTTCTTTTACTGTGAGGCTCACTTTCCACAAATTAGCAATAAGTATGATTTTCAAGTCTGATTTTTCTCATGGGCCACTGTTGTTAAAATACCTTTGGTTGTAGAGATAGAAACAATGCCTACCCTCCAACAGTTCAAAGGACAAACAGAGTGAGATTCCAGAGTTCACACCGGGGAACCCAGTGAGCTTACTAATAAGGCTTCTTTACAAAGCAGTGGGTGAGAGTTTACAAGCAGGAGCATGGGTGACCTTAAAGTAGTCACAGCAGAAAGTCTGCACCCAACATGGATGATTCTCCCATAGCTGTGTAGATGGAATCCCCTCCTCTTGTTGCCTACTTAAAAATAACCTGCCCCTCCTACAGACCCTAAGGCCATGAGCAGTTAGGGCAGAACTGCATATAACTGACAGGGACTGGTGGCTGGATACTCACTTGAAGGTCACATGACCCTCCCCAATCCCCACCTCCCCAGAGGAAAGGTGCACAGTCAAGCCCAGCTGCAGTATACAAGATGTCAGTTTGGCGTAGAGGAGAGTGCTGTACAGCAGCTAATAAGAGAAATTCTGTTTAAAAAAGAGAAGAGGCTGGAGGTCAGGCCCAGGGTAGGCATGCTTGCTGCTCCTAAAGAGGGCTGGAGTTCAGTTCCCAGTACTGACTTAGGGCAGCTCCGGGGAATCTGCTGCCCTCATCTGGCCTCCCCAGGGATCTGCACTCACACAAAAACAAACCATTGTTACTTTTACTTAAGTTTTCACTGTGTAACCTAACTGGCCCCGAACTTGCCATGAGAGACCTGTCTACTTCTGCCATCTTTTTTTTCTGTCTTTTTTTTTTTTTTTAAGATTTATTTATTTTATTTATATGAGTACATTGTTGTTCTCTTCCGACACACCAGAAGATGGCATCAGATTCCATTACAGATGGTTGTGAGCCGCCATGTGGTTGCTGGGAATTGAACTCATGACCTCTGGAAGAGCAGTCAGTGCTCTTAACCACTGAGCCATCTCTCCAGCCCCCTGTCTTTTTTTTTTAAGATGTATTCATTTATTATGTATACAGCATTATGCCTGCATGTATACCTGCAGGCCAGAAGATCTCATAGGTGGTTATGCGCCACCGTGTGGTTGCTGGGACTTGAACTCAGGACTTCTGAAAGAGAAGTCAGTGCTCTTAACTGCTGTGCCATCTCTTCACACACACACACACCCTAATAAACCTTTTTTTTTTTTAAGATTTATTTATTTTATTTATGAGTACACTGTAGCTTCAGACACACCAGAAGAGGGCATCAAATCTCATTGCGGATGGTTGTGAGCCACCATGTGGTTGCTGAGATTTGAACTCAGGACCTCTGGAAGAGCAGTCAGTGCTCTTAACCACTGAGCCATCTCTCCAGCCCTCAATAAATCTTTAAAAGTTTAAAAAAAAAAAGTTTCTGACTGGTTAGCAGTGTGTTAAGATAAATTCATATAGGATGTTATAATTTCATTTTAAAAATCTCTTCACACGAGTACCAGGACTGCATATGTACTTTATCTAATGTGTGTAGTTAATATTTGTAGGCTATAAAGTGTATGCCTTTTTAATTAAGTATTGGTATTGTTACTATTAATTTGTTACATCCCACACCAGATAGAGAATTATGCCTTCAAACAGTCTGGAAAAAGTGATTTTTATTTTTAACCCCCTTAGGACCCTGTTTTAACCCTAATTGCTGTGGCCTTAGGGTCTATGAGAGGGGGCAGATTATTTTAAAGTAGGGGACAAAAGGAGGGGACTCTTATCTACACAGCTACAGGGAAGTCAAATCCATGTTGGGTTCATATGGTTAAATTTCACAGCATTTGACTTTCTTGGATGTATTGATTGCATCAAAGAAGTCCTATCTCAAAAAAACAAAGAGAAAAAGAAAACATCTGTCCTTTTTATAGACATTCAGACACCAAGTTGCCCAATTCTGAAAATAGCAGGAACTGGAATTGGACTGGACTGGCTCTGAAACAGCTGAACTGGTTGAGAGCCTCAACAAAGATGCAAACCTCCCCTTAGTGGACAGTGAGTGGTTGATGGCGGTTCCGTGCTGCTAAGAGCTGAGATGACGGTGCCACAAGAACCCGTGCCACTTAATTGTGGGTAACAGATTTTCTGTTGTTTGTGTGTTTTCAGGCATGGTTGTCCTATGTTGGCTAGGCTGCCCTAAAACTTACCCTGTTTCCTATGAGCTAGGATTACAGGTGCATGCCACCATGCCTGGCTTCTTCCTTGTTCTAGGGATTACACTGTACAATACATAGCCCGTTGCATGGTTATACTAAAACGCTGTTTTTAATTTTTTTCTATTTGCTTATATATGCACACATGCTATAGAATGTGAGGGTCAGAGGACAACTTGTAGACATTGGTTCTCTTTCATTATGTGGAATAGAAGGACCAAACTCAGGTAGTCATGCTTGACAGCAGGCACCTTTACCAGCTGAGCCATCTCACTGCACTCTTAGTTTTTAATACATTCTGGTTTTGAAACAGGGTCTCTACAATATATAGCCCACAGTGGCCTCAAACTCTGCCTCCCAAGTGGGATTCCAGGCATGCGCTACCACGCCAGGCTACTAATGGGTTTTTATATTGCTTAGAGCCTTGAGAACACTTAAGATACCTGTACTAGCCTTAACATGTCTGTGTGCAGTTCCTGCCTGTGTGCAGGGTAAGATCCTAGCTGGATCAGATTCGAGCTTTGCAGATTTTTTTAACCTTTAAAAAAAAAAAAACAAAAAAACCAAAAACCTAAACTATAAAACACATATGCCTTTTGTGTTTATAATTGTTTTTCTTTGATCTGTTGAGTTTTTCTATAGAGAAATGTTGATGTTCGACTGACTCTGTTCCCTTCGTGCCGTGTCACATTCTCTACCCTAGAACGTGAGTGCAGAGTCTTAGTGACTTTCCTGTTGTGCACATGTGTGCTTGATATGTTAATACATTAATGTCTTCCCTAAATAAAAATGCCATTTCTCACATGCGGAGCTCATCCTTGGAGGTTTGTATACTGGGTTTCATTATTTCCCACAGCTTCATAGATTTGTGGATGTGCCTTACTGTCCTAATCCTCCAATGGGATACTCTTCTTATGTGTTTACTTGTGCAAACAGCCTTTTGTGTGATTATTTTTTATTTAATAACCCAAATAGAATGAGGAGCAGATAATTGCTTTTTTATATAGTAAGAATAAATCACACTATTTTTACCAAATAACCATATACCACCACACCCAGCTAGGAGCAAGCCACAGTGAAGTGTGGAGGTCAGAGGATGACTCTTGGGAGCTGGTTCTCCCCTTCCACCTTGTAGATGCTGGGGATGAAACTCAAATCACCACTGAACCATGCGACCAGCTCTAGTTTTGTGTTTTGAGACAATTTTTTGCTAGGTAGCATCCAGGCTGTCCCTAAGACTTGCAACCCTAAAATACCCTGAGTGTTAGGTTTACAGGGATGTGACACTACACGCAACAGGAAAATTACTTCGTAAGTGTATGTTTGTGTGTGCGTACACATGTATACCAGAAGATAGCCTTAGATGTTCTCTACCTTATTGTCACTGAGTCAGGGTCATCTGGGTCTCTCTCAGTGGGGTCTAGGGCTTTCCTCTTAGTCTAGGCTGGCTGCCCTGGAAGCCACAGGGATCCAGCTGCCTCTGCACCTCCAGCAATCAGGTTACAAACATGCTTCAGCTATACCTGGCTTTTCATGTGGCTGCTGAGGACCAAACGCTGCCTCATAATTGCACGGCAAACACTTTATCAACTGAGCTATCTATACCCAGCTCCATAGATATTTTTAAATTTTTCCCAAGGTTGAATATTTGTTTATAAGATATAGACAATTAAACTGTCATAAAATATGGAAATTGGTTTATAAAAAATGTCAACACAAATACTAATACATTTCTTGTAAGACATGTGTTAAGGGTTTCCTTGTTTAAGCTGCATCTTAAAATTCAAAGGGGGGAATGTGATCAAAACACATATATTAATACATGTATTAAGATATAGTGAAACTACTTTGTAAATTACTGTGCTAATAAATTTTTAAAACATCTTGAAAGCATACAGCTTCTTAATATTGACATTTACATGGTTGTTTTTCTGTTTTGGCAACAGTCTTAATATAATCTAGTTACCCCTCAAACTCACAGTAGTCCTCCTGCCTCAGTCTCCCAAGTGCTTGGATTTACAGGCATGAGCCTCCAGACAAAGTCTTTGCAATGCTGAACATCAAACCCAAGGCCTGTTTAATTTTGTTCTTCTTCCTTATGAAGCATTTGTTCCAGAACTTGCTCTGTAGACCACGCTGGCCTCAAAGTCAGAGATCTGCCTGCCTCTGCTTCCTCAGTACCAGGGTTAAAGACACGCACCACCATGTGTTAAACCAAGGCCGTATACACGCTAACCAAATCTCTACCTCTGAGCGCCATTTCTAGCTCCAAAATCTGATTTTTAGCATCTTTAATTCTAATTTCAAGTGGTATATTTGTAAAATATATTGGATGGCAAAGAACAGGATCTTTTAAGAGTTCTTGAGCAGTCTGAAACTTTTTGAGGATGCCGTATTGAACAAATGCAACCCACGGGTTCAGAAACATGGACATTTGAATGCACTGGATCACGCAGACCACAGAGCTCTGAAGCATCCTGCCAGGCAGTTCTGAATGGGAAAGTCTGGCTCATGGGAATTTTTTCTTTATTCTTTTTCGAGGCAGTGTCTTTGTCTTCCAGTGCCCGAGCAAGCATGTAACTAACCTTTCTTTGATGAGCAAGTGCTTCTTCTTTATCATTCAACTGTAAACAGAAGTTAGGAAGAAATGGACCAGTTAGTAAGTCATGGGATAGATGCAGAAAACAGTATTACATCTTATCAAAATACTGCATCCCAAATGTTAGATTAATAGTATTTTAGAATAATCTTGAATCAAATGCTGGGAGATTTAAGTTAAATCTTAAAATTGACTTTGCATTCTTGTTTGTATATGTGAATGCCGTGGACTATGTGCTAGGGCTGGAGAACAACTTGCTGAAGTCAGTTCTTTCCTTCTACTGGGTGGGTCCTGGGATCGAATTCACGTTGTCTGGCTTGGCAGCAGGCTCCTTTACCTACTAAGCCATCTCACTGGCTGAACTGTGCTTTCCCAACCCCCAGGTTAGGGTTTCTTGGTGTAACAGCCTGGTTGTTCTGAAACTCAGTTTGTAGACTAGGCTGGCCTCAGTCCGCTTCCCTTGTCTCCCAAGTGCTGGGATTAAAAGCTTGTGCCCCCACTGCCTGGCTTGTGCTGCTTTCTATTTTAAATTTGTCTGTGTCCGCATGTATGTGCAGGTATCCAAGAAGGCCAGGAGAGGGTCGGTATCAGATCTCCCAAACTCTTTACAGGTGGCTGTGAGCCATGCAGTGCTAATGTGGGGACTCAGGTAGGTCTTGTAGAAGAGAAGGAAGTGCTCTTATGTAAGAAGCCATGCTGAGCTTCTCTCCAGCCCCAGAACTTTTCTTAAAGGTGGTCGGGGGTGGGATGGGTGGCAGTAATAAGGAAGCTCATCAAGTAAAAGTACTTGCCAGTCAAGCTAGGTGCAGAGTCCAATCCTTGGAACTCATAAAAGTAGAAGGAAAGACCTGATCCACAGAGTTGTCCTGTGACTCCATGTGCCGTGACATGCATGCCCACATGTATTTCATACATACAAAGACAATGAATGTTTCTTTAACAACTCAACAAGTGTTACTTCTGTGTAGTCCTGTAAGTCACCCAGAGACGGGGAAGACTGTATGTAATCCCAGCATGTACTTATTTCTGAAGGAATATTTAAAGCTGTATCTAAAACTGTTTTTATATATTTATATACAAATAAATATGCCATCAGAGTTAAAGTGACTTTGCTCAAAGTACTTGAGTCATTGTCTTAGTTTAGCAGCTAGCTGTGGAAGGGATGATTCTGGGCCCCTGTTAATGAGTTAAGGGTATGTGACAGAGTGCCTGGAACACTTCAATGCCCGGAGCTACACATGAATGCAGGCAGCTGAACTGGTTGAAATGAGTCACTGACCCTCCCCTCAGATGTAGAATTTGAAACCTGCACAGAAGGTCTCATAGAAGTGGAAACAGTTGGCAGGGAGATGGTGGAGAGTGGTACCCAGTAGAGAAGGGGGCTTCAGAGGCCAGCATGGCTTAGGATAGGAGGTGCACGGATTATCTTAGCACAACTGCAGCCCCTAACTAAAAGCAAGCAGAGGTCCAGCACTAACCAACTCTATCAGCATCTTAAAGACCTCTTGCGGATTGTCTTGGTCTTCAGCAGCCTTGGAACTGTTTTCTGAAGGGAGGATCCCCAGCAGTCTTTGCCCTAAGGTCTTCTTCCTCCTTTGTGCCGGATAGCCTAAGCATCAATGAGACAATCCAGCTGAGAAAAATACACTCACTGATAGGAGTAAAAGCAGTATCTGTGAGCCAAGGCTAACTCCTAAGTCAGTCCAGAGGTAATTCTCCCAAAACCACAAGGGCCACTGTTGCAGGTGGTACATTATGATGGAGCAACGTGGATTTCAGGGTGGGGCTGGGGGCGGGGCCGGAGGGCATGCTGCTGCTGGAAACTTGGTGCTCAGGCCCCAGGTCATCAGTCTTCAGGAGCAGCAGAAATCCAGGTCTACATGTGAGATTTCCCAGCTTTAAATGTCAGTCACTACCCATATATCCATACCCAGCACCGCATTGGCCTGACAGAAGTGCACCTTTACCAACTGCTAACTGTAAATGAGTAACAACTACATGAAAAATCTCAATCATCTCTCTCTTTCCTGTGCTCCACTAAACTTTATTATATCCCAAAGCAACTAAAATCCCCATTCTCGCCACGTGCGCCCCAGGTACCATCCTCTGCCTGGCGTTGCCTGTTGATCCACGTTGCTGTTCTTCTACACATATCCCCTCGTGCCAGTCTCAGTGCCTGGTCATTTTTCCTCATTAATTGTTGCTCAAAAGCAATTCTGAATGCATCTGCCGTTATGTGTGCCTCTTCCTTACTCTTCTGCAGAGTTTCCAACTGAAAGGGCATCGGGAGCCATCAGGTGAAGCTGGAGACAGTTTTGCATACTAATCTCTATTCCTCTATCCCATCTAGGTTGTCCGCTTAAGTCAGTACTTGCCCATTCTGCCAGCACTCAGGCCTGGTGACTCTACTCCCTGACAATCCAACTCCTGAAACTCATTACCCAGGCTTGGCCCTGTGTCTGTCCATCCTGCCCAAATCCTGGAGGAAGGACACGTTCTAATACCTCCCCTAGCTGAACCTCAAAGAGTCTGATCTATGTGATTATGTGCTGTATTTAAGGACTAGCTAATGTCTGGCAGTTAGCCTTCCTGTGTGGCCCCAAGGCTTTAAATTCCATATCTTCAAAAAGCCAAAACTGGCCTGGGCATAGTGGTGCATGACTTTAACCTCAGCACTGGAGAGGCAGAAGGAGAGAGATCTCTGAGTTTGAGGCCAGCCTGGTCTATAGCATAGCCAGAGCTACACAGAGAAACTGTCTCAGAAAGCCAAAAAGAAAAAGAGTAAAACTTTTTAGAATTATGCTAAATCATACATTTTGTTTATAAACATATTCATAATTAAAGTCCAATTATAAGGGCAATTATCAGTTGATTAAATGCCTGGCCTGTTGATGCTAAACATGTCCTCCACGGTGGTTATCATCCTACTAACCTATGAGAGAACTGAAGCTGATTCGGCCCAAAGCCACACAGACAGCAACCCATGGGTGATGCTAAAGCGCTACCGTGTGCAGCTAGTCCAGTGCATAAGGTTTCTTGTTTGTCTCCCCACTACCCAGTGCTAACTCTACCGATTTTAAGTGTAAACACACCTTTTACTCTCTACAACTCTATTAACTGTGATGTGGGGCCCATGGATAAATGAGAAAGTCTGACTTTAAGCACTGTTAACTACACAGGTAGTCAAACAACTTCACATGGCTTCAGATTTCAGGCACCATGTGTATTTTGGAACCAGATAAAGGAAATCTAGCACACAAGTTAATGCTCTCACATAAAACCAAGCCTACATTGCACAGCCGGTAACTCCCAGGATGAAGTTCATTTTCTCAAATCCTGCCATTTATTCTACTGCAAATAAAGAAACTGAGGCAAAGCCTCTGCTGTTGTGCTGATGTGATACGTACCTCATGTCTGAGCTGAAGAACCAGTTTCTGAGTGGATGCTGCCATTTTGGCACAAGAACAGGGGCTCCCTCCAGGACCATGACACAGACAGGCTCCAAGGACCGCAAGCTTGAAACCAGGAGGATCACCTGTTACCAAGTGCTACCAAGTGTCACGTTGTCTTAACCACGTATAAACAGTCCTCTACATGCAACTCATGTCTCTGAGCCGAAAGTGTGTGTGTATTTTAGATTTAATTATAATAAATACATATTATAAATGACGTAAATCATATACATTTTTAAAGAAAGCTGAGATGAGGAGTTCGTGGTCTGAGTGGAAATATCCACAATTGAGACATCATTACTTGCTACAAAGACTTCCAAGAATTCTACCTTCCTTCCTTCTGATTCTCAAAACTTTTAATCCTGGTGTCCACCTCCAGTAGTTCTGAGTGTGTAGCAAGAATTTCGCCTAACCAAGCAGTTAATAGTAACGCCCACCGTGTGTGCTTCCTGTAACACACGGCCCTTAGAGCCAGCATTCGCTGGCTCAGAATGAACAGGGTATGTTATTTTGCCCATGGGGAAAGCAACCATCCTTTCACTCTTAAAAAATAAAGGCTCTGCAGTCATGCTCTATATTTTAAAATATTTCTTGGGGATTGACTGTGGGATTGAAGTTACCTGTAGCCCTGCCCCCTCAAAACTTGGCTAAGGCTCACAGTGAAGAAACAGGGTCATTCCTGGTTGACCATTGTAATTCAAAGAACAGCAAGAACCTTGTATTTTTCAATCATTTTAGCAGCTAGGTACACTTACTAATTTTACAGAGATCGTCTATGTATTTTAAAGTTTCATAAGGAACTTACTATAAAATTATCTAAATCCAGCCTGCCTAGGTGTAAACTACTAACCATATGACAGAAGATGACACTCCCTCATTTTTCTGTCACCTCATGTGATGTGGAGCTTGAGCCAGAATGTAAGGGTTAAGTGTGTCATTCTTGGACACTAAGGACATCGCAATGCTTGTTCTTGGTAACAGTTGCTTTTTTCCTGGGTTCTCCAGTGAGTGGAAGGAATGGTGCTTATAAATCCCAAAGTCCTTTGTCCCTCACTAGCTAAACTTCCGCACTGTAAGTCACAGACAACACATCAGCAGATCTATGTGTAAGCCACAGGCTCCCTTGTCACCGTGGGAAGATAACTTAACCTACCCAGCCTTAGCTGGATGACACCCCTTTGCAACCTTGTAAGTCCTCAGAAAGAGCCTGCTCCACCCAGCAGTGAGGCACGGCTCAAGCAGCGTGTGCTGTAACTTAACAAGAAATGAGTGGGGTAGGGGACAGCACATTCCCCAGTGTCCAACCATTGCGTCTCTCAGGTATGGTAGAAAGAGTCAGCAAGAAGCAACCTGGGCAATCCCGAGGGCTTCTTGCACCCTAGTCTGAGGAACTAAGTTTGTTACTGTCCTAGAACGGGCAGCAGGGAAAGCAGACGATGCCCCTCCCCCACCCGCCTTTCCTGGGTGCACATGTACCTCGAGACCTGATACCTCTGTAAAGCCACGCTCCTCCTGACCCATGTTCTCCTGAGCCATCTTCTGCTGTTTGATATCAAGCATGGCGAGGGCCTCCAAGTACCGCTGATTCAAAACTAGAAAGGGCCACATGCGACAGTGTTAGTTTTGAGGCCAGGACTATATACAGTACACCAACACACTCATTTCTTCTAAGCAACACACGCATCACACATTACCTACAAGATTGGGCTCCATCTAGAAAATCCTATCTGATGAAATAGGTATGGGAGAAAGGAATTTTTGTTTTTATGTGTAGGGTGTCTGATCCCCTGGAACTGGAGTTATAGTTGTGAGCTGCCATTAGGGTGCTGAGTATTGAACCAGGTCCTCTGGAAGAGCAGCCAGTGCTCTTAACTGTGGGAGCCATCTCTCCCGCTCTGTAATGGCCACTTCCAATGGGGAAGCCTCTTAACTTTGCCACCGAGGCCTGCTGTTAGTTTGCTCTAGGAAAGTTTGTAGATTTTTGGGTGAGTGAGTGGGGATTTCGAGACAGGGTTTCTCTATGTAGCCCTGGCGATTCTAGAAGTTGATTCTAGAAGTCATTTCATAACCAGGCTGGCCTGGAACTCACAGAGATCCACCCTCTGAGTGCTGGGATTAAAGACATGCACCACCACAACTCATCAAAACTTTTTTCTAAGTCAACACATAAGGTAAATTATTTTGAGTCTCTGAAGACTGCCCTGGGAATCTTTTTAGAATAAGCATTCCAATACCAATAGGACTGGAAGGGATGAGAAATCACCTGAGGATCAAAGACAGTCCCTGAAAGGCATAGCTGCAGGGTCTAGTTTGTATTCTCATTTGATACGCTAAAACCAGTGTGGGGCAGAGGGAAAGCAGACAAGAGCAAGATTTGACAGAAGCCCACCTGGCGGCAGGTTGTTAAGGGCAACAGCCCATTGTTTCAGATCTTCCTCCAGGTCATTCTGTTCAGGCAGCAAGAGAAGTAATGTCTACCAAACAGGCAGCACAAGCCACTCTTTAAATCAGTAAATAAATCAACAAAGCACTGTGTTAATAACTTTTCCTATTTCAGACACTGAGGGGACTAGATAGTATGATCTATACTGTTCTCATATCAAATGTGCAAGTTACCCAAATTCCATCAGATTTTTTCATTTAAGAACTCTCAAGTCAGGGGTGGTGGCACACAGTTTTAATTCCAGCATTCAGGAGGCAGAAGCAGGCAGATCTCCGAGTTCAAGGCCGGCCTGATCTACAGACTGACTTCCAGGGCAGCCAGGGCTACACAGAGAAACCCTGTCTCAAATTAAAAAACAAAAACAAGGGAGCTGGAGAGATGGTTCAGTGGTTAAGAGCACTGGCTGCTCTTCCAGAGGTCCTGAGTTCAATTCCCAGTAACCACATGGCGGCTCACAACCATCTGTAATGATCTGATGCCCTCTTTGGCATGTAGGTGTGCAGATAGAGCACTCATACATAAAATAAATAAATAATTAAAAACAAACAAACAAAAACAAAAAAACCAAGTTTTCCTAGGAGGCTCTCTGACCGACCACAACACAAAGAAAGGATTCTGCTATCTAATCGAGAAGAGAACAAACTATCTGTCCCTCTCCATCCGGAGTGAGTCTCAAAGGAGAGGGAGTGAGGGCTTGTAATTTGAGCAGCTTCTGCCCTAAGCTACTGTAGCACAGGTAATTGCTGCAGGCTCAGGTACTTCTGCATTCAGATCTCATCCGGGCTGCATGAGCTCAAAGAGTCACAAGATCTGACTCAGGGTTGGCTTTGTTCCTGTCAAACCACCACTTAGTCTCCACTGAAGAGAGGAGATTAGCATCTTTTCTTTAAAATCTGTAAGCAAATTAGCGCCACCATGGTTCTTCTCAGTGTCCATAACGTGATTCATGATACAAGGGATTTGTAACACACAGAGTTTGCACATGTGACTACACACACATGTATACACATACACAAACACACCCATACACACTCAGTTTCCTTAGCATCATGTTCTGCCATTTTATTTTGCTTTTCAGAGAGAGGTTCTTACTCTGTAGCCCTGATTGGCCTAAAATTTACTGTGGAGCTCAGACAATTCTCAAACTCATGGCAAACCTCTTGCCTCAGCCTCTCAAATGATGGGCTTACAGGCTGCCCCACTTTCCTAGCACTTTATATTAAAACTGGGTCAAAAGGGACCCCAGAAAGAATCTGGTTCATGAACACAGCCTTTACTTTGGAATATCAGAAAATTGTGGAAATAACTGAGGCTGTAACTGCACAGGACGTCAACACCACTGGGTTAAGCACTTTTACTTATTTAAACTTTTTTCAAAACAAGGTTTCTCCATATAGCCCTGACTGTCCTGGAACTCAATGTAGACCCAGCTGACCTTGAACTCACAGAGAGCTATCCACCTGCCTCTGCTGGGATTAAAGTTGTGTGCCACCACCTCCCAGCTTAAAGATATTTTTATATTTTTTGAAAATTTCATACATGTATATGATGTACTGGATGTACCCACCTCCCACTCCCTGTACCAGACCCTCCCACTGCAGCTGGCTGTTGGTTTCTTTTCTTGAGACAAGGTCTCCCTACATAGCCTTTGGCTGATATCAAACTCTCTCTATGGCCGAGGATAGCCTCAAACTCATAGAGATTCACCTGCCTCTGTCCCATGATTGCTGGAATTAAGGGTGAGCATTGCCATGGCTGACCCACCTGTTTATTTTCAAATGATTAAGTTTATTTTGTATGGATTTCACCTACATAGTCTTTTTTTCTAAAAGACTTTATACACACACACACACACACTAGCTGTCTTCAGACACACCAGAATCCCATTACAGATGGTTGTGAGCCACCATGTGGTTGCTGGGAATTGAACTCAGGACCTCTGGAAGAGCAGTCAGTGCTCTTAACCGCTGAGCTATCTCTGTAGCCCCTCCATAGCTTCCTTCCTTATTTAGGAAAAAAAAAAGAAAACCCTAAAGTAAATAAAAGTTCTCAATCATGCACTTCTGTTTTTTTTCCTTAAATGATATTACTTCAATATATACATAATAATATGTAAGTATATAATAATACTATATTGACTGTATTGACCAGATACAATACAATACAATACAATACAATACAATACAATACAATACAATACAATACAATACAATACAATACAATGCATCTGTATTGACCAGAGTGCCTTTGGTACAGTGTATTTTATACATGCTGACCCAGAAAACCATTAAGATGCAGTACTCATCAGCATTTTCTGACCCAGAGAACCATTAAGATGCCATACTCACCAGCATTTTCAGACTTGAGCATCTTTATCTCCTCTGTTCTCAACTGCAGATTCTCTCTGAGGACTGCATTGTCACAGTTTAGCCTGAAGAGAAAAAGCCTAACTGAATAATTAAAATAGCAACACCTCCTCACTGTGCAAAAATATTCTTATTTCTACACTTTATTACATTTTTTGTAGGAGGCACAAAAGTACACATGTAGTCAAAGGATACTTTGTGGGAGTGGATTCTCTCCTACCACGTGGGTCTTCAGATCAAACTCAGGGTGCTGGGCTTGGTAGTAAGTGTGTTTGTCTTTTTGGTTTTTTTGTTTTTCTTTTTTGTTTTGTTTTGTTTTTTTTCGAGACAGGGTTTCTCTGTATAGTCCTGGCTGTCCTGGAACTCACTCTGTAGACCAGGCTGGCCTCGAACTCAGAAATCCGCCTGCCTCTGCCTCCCAAGTGCTGGGATTAAAGGCATGCACCACCACTGCCCGGCTAAGTGTGTTTGTCTACTGAGCAATCTCACCTTCAACTCATATGCTTAAAGCTTTTATAGACTTAGTTGAGAAAGAAGCAGAACCAGTATTCATATTCATTCATATTCTCATTCCCACTGATACAATTTTAATTCAACTTAATAACCATTTGTCGGTCCATGGATTAGAATCAGTGGACTAAGCTGGTGGGGATGCTGATGATGGGAGGGATGCTGATGATGGGGGATGCTGATGATGGGAGGGATGCTGATGATGGGAGGGATGCTGATGATGGGGGGATGCTGATGATGGAGGGATGCTGATAATGGGGGGATGCTGATGA